GGGGGGGGGGGGGGGGAGGCTTTCGTGTTCGTACATGTGATTGGCGCCCTTCTTGAGGACACTGCTGGGGTGAATCTCCGCCTCCCTCATGCCCTTGGCTGCATACTTGTCGGGGCCCCTCGCACCCCCACTGCTGGCCTGCTTGACGGCTATCTGATGCACACACACACACACACACACATACATATGCACACACGTGCACACACAGAGAGACGCTTGGCCCCCCCACTTACTTGTGGATAAAGTGCCGCACACAGCAGCGCCCGAACGAGGGCATATCTCCTCCTGTCGTATTCCGTGCGCTGTCTGTTGCCGTGCAGTGCCTCAAGCAGGGCGGGAGGGGGCGGCGGAGGGTCACGCACCCACCCAGGGCTGATGAAACCGGCGTCCACCAGGACGCTCTGCAGGTGGCTGCGCATGTCGTCGATCTGCGAGAGGGTGTTGGGGTCGAGGAAGAACTTGCGGCACCAGTTGCGGGCGGCCTGCATGCCGTCTGACTCCTTGACTCGTGACCAGGTCTCGTGCGCGCGGAGCAGGGCCAGCTGGTCGCCGTCGAGCGTGCCTGAGATACAGACGCAGAGAGGGAGGTAGGCTCACCCATTTCCCTTTGCCAGTGATTCAATGCCCACGTGCCTGCCAGTGACAGCCTGGCTTTGTCGGCCTCCTCTCGCTTGTCGAAGGGCGACACGAAGGGCGACCGGACGGTCAAGGAGGCGGCAATCGTCAACACCTGACCCATCCAACGAACACCGACGTGCACGGACGGTCTCGCACTTTGTGTGTGTGTGCCGTCTTTCCTCTCCAGTCACCTCCTCCATGCACCCGAAGAGACAGCCGTACACGAGCAGCTTGCCCGTCGTCACATCAACAGGCAGCCGAGCCAAGTGATGACCCAATGCCGTCAGCTCGAGGTTCTTCAGGTTCACCACACCACGATGGGCGCGGGAGGGGGCCTTCTTGTTGCCATCCTTGCTGAGGCCGCGTCGCTGCATGGCCGACAGGTCGACCAGGTGCTGCAGGGAGGCCTCGATCGCCGCCTCCTTGGGCGGCTCCAAGGCGTTCTGCAGGAACGAATGGGGGCTGCGACGCCTGCAACACAACACACAGGCAGGTATCACTTCGTGTGCATGATCGGTGTGTGTGCGTGTGTGTGCTGGGTACGTGAGCAGTTGTATCTGCAGGCACAGGCTGTCGAGGGGCACCCGCAGCATCTCGGGCTTCTCGTACGCGTCGAGGCGGCTGAACTTCCGGCCCGTGACGAGTGTGTAGCAGACGCCCTCAGCCACACGACCCGCGCGACCTTTCCGCTGACTGCAATCACACACATACACCACAGATGCCTACCTGGGTGAAGGGAGGAACTGGGCGTGGTGTCCGCTCACTTGGCGTTGGCCTGAGAGACCCAGCAGTCGGCCAGCTCGGCTATCTGAGGATGAGGGCATGGATATCACTGTGTGTGTACTGGTCGGTCGTTTCGACGCCCCACGCACCCGCCCACCCACCCTATTAGACGAGTCCCATCGTGTAGTCTTGTGTCGTGCCGAGTCGATGACGAAGCGGATGTCCTCGATGGTGATCGACGTCTCTGCGATGTTGGTGCTCACTACTACCTTGCGCCTACCTGATGGATGTGATGCACACAACACATCAAAACACGACAGAGGGTCCACCCCTTCACCCACAAAATGCCGAGACGGCCCGACCTCTGGGTGGCGCGTCGAAGACCCTCCTCTGCTCCTGCACAGAAATGTTGCCGTGTAGGGGCAGCAGATAGAGTGAGGAGGACACGCCATCGGCAGCACTGCCGCCCCTCCGCCAGTCAGGCCGGTCAGCCCCCCGCCTGTCGCCGTTGCCCATGCCGCCGAGGGCATCCAGGCATTTCTTGATCTCAGCGAAGCCCGGCAGGAAGACCAGTATGGCGCCGGCCGGGTCGGGGTGCGTGCGATGGATGTGGTGCACCAGGTCACGAATCAGATCGTAGTTGGTGCGCTCCTGAAGTTGCGAAGGCGACGGGAAAACGTGTCATGGGGTTGTGAGTGTGTGTGTGTTGGTGTGGGGGTGCGTACCTCTTCCATCCTTGCGATTTGCAGCAGCACTTGGTCAGGGTAGTTGCCGTGGGCCTCACGCAACGACCGGTAGTCGTGCTCATACAACTCAGTCTGCGTAGAAGTTAAGGACAGGAGAGGGAGAGAGCGCATCCACCGACAGCCGCGGCGCACGTCGTGAGTGTTCCGACCGGCGCTTCCTTCTTGGCGTATGGCCCGTCCGCTTCGATGACGTGGTGGGTCTGCTGGAATACATCCTGCAACAGCCAGTGGATGGGACGCACAATAGACACAAAGGCAGCTCGTTGGCTTGCCCGTGTCGCACCTGAATGAAGTGTTGGTGTACAGGGAAGGTCCTTCCAGGGATGTGGGCCATCGGAGCACTGAAAAGGATACGAAAGGAGAGTGCAATGTCTTTGTTTTGCCCTACATATCGTCGTCAGTGGGTGCCTGACCTCTCGAAGTAGGTGCTGAATAGCTCGGCATTGAGCGTCGCCGACATCAGCACCACACGCAGCAGCGGCCGCTGTGCCGGTCACATCACACAAACAGACAGAGGAGGGAGTGCATATCATACGTGGGGGGTGTGTATCCCTCCCCACCTGTTTGAGTATTTGTTTGAGCAGAATCAGGAGGAAGTCGGTATCGAGACCGCGTTCGTGCACCTCATCCACGAACACATGCGTCACATTGCGGAGAGTGGGGTCAGACTCAAGCCGCCTTGAACACACATATACACACAACACGTGTGTGCAGGCATCGTCTGTCTGTCTGTGTGTCTGTCTGTCTACCTGAGAAGCACTCCCGTGGTGACGATGAGCATCTTGGTCCTCTCGCTCTTCTTGCTCTCCATCCTGAAATATGACGACAAGACACACGCCGCACGTATGGCACACCGCGGCTGCTGCTGGAGGCGTGTGCGGTGCGGTTCGTCACTTTGCCTACCTGATTTGGTAGCCCACGAGGCCGCCGATGGGGTCTCCGATTTCGGCAGCAACGCGGTCTGCCACACCTATGGCAGAGATCCTGCACACCACCGACAGACAAGAATGGGGAATACAAGGACAATTCTCGATCTTTGCTGCTCTCTCGGTATGAGTACCTTCTTGGCTGCGTGACGACGATGTTGAGTGCGCCGCCCTTGCCGCGAGCCACCCAATCCTCGAAGACATACTGGGGCACCTGGGTGGTCTTCCCACATCCGGTCTCTCCCGACACGACGCACACCTGATTGTTGTTGATGAGGTCGAGCAGAGCATCACGCTGCTGATACGCTGGCAAGCTCTGAATAGAGCCGTACACATGATTGTCAACCACACACAATTCTCACACCATTGTGCGCACACACGCATACTTTTCGCTTTGCCTCGTACGGGCTGATGCGCCGCCTGAATGTCCGCTGAAGCGCCTCGCTCTCACTCTGACACACAGAAACACAAAACACAGAGTGAACACGACACGACACGACACGACATGCTGCTGCTCTGTTGTATGACCTACCGCGGTTTGCTTGATCCTGGTGTGCATGGAGTGCATGTCGGCTTCGAGCATCTCCTGCGGATCGGGGGCAGGGGGCGGGGCGTCATCGGCCTCTGAAGGCATGGCGTCGTCAGTGCCCTCAGTGCCCTCGGTGTCGTCCTGGTCGTCATCGCTCTCCTGGTCGCTACCGTCCTCATCATCGATCGGTTCTTCGTCATCCCCGTCTTGAGTGTCGACTGGAACGTCGCCCCGCGCCCTTGCCTCATCCTCCTCCATTAGACGCTTCAAGTGCTGCACGACACACCACAGACACACGTGGGGGATGGATGGATGGATGTGGGTAGGTGAGGGGTGGTGTGTACTGGTCGGTATCAGCATACCGCGATCTTCTCTTCTTCCTTGCGCTGCATCTCCGCTATCTCCTTCTTGTGCGCCTCCTGACTCCCGCCCCGCACCAACAACAGCAGCATAGCCAGGTCATTCACATCGAAGCGGTCGTGTCTCTGGTGTGACCGACCGCCAGTTCAAGAGTGCGCTGCACTTGTGCCTTGGTGCCCTTGACAGACGATGACAACGATTCACCGCCCTTCTTGGGCTTGCCGGCCCTCACGACCCCGCCGTGCTCATCCTGTCCATGAGCCTGACCCTCTTCTATCTTTGCGGCGTCCAGGAATTCAGAGGCGTCCTGAAGCAGCACATGCACAACGTAGTACTAGGGGAAGTCAGCGAGACCCCCTGCATCTATCTGACCTGGCGGAACCACTCGAGGATATCAAACAGCATGGGCCCGCCAAGACGCTCAGTCAGCGCCGAGCCACACGCCTGCACCCACCACACACACACAGGCACGTCACGCCATGCAATCATTGCGATGTTTCTCCCTCCCTCCTTCCTTCCCCCGTGTGCAGTGCATAACATACCGCAATGCAGCTCTTGCGGTGTTTGCGTGACAGCCGTGGGTGTCTGCAGGACACCAACATGGGTGCCGCGTGGGGATAGCGGTGGTCGGGAGGGATAGGGAGGGCCAGCCGCACACACCACTCGGTCTCTGGCGGGCGCAAAGCGACCTCAAACCCCTCGTCCGTCAGCTGGTGGGAGCACGCCTCCTCGCCCTCATAGATGCTCTCGAGCGAGGCCAGCTCCTCCTGTACCTCTTGCCGCCACACATCCACTTCCACGACAAAGGCCCCGTCGCCCTCGGCTGGTGGTGGGTCGACAGGCCAGAGTGTTGCCAGCAGGATGGTCCGCAGCTTGTCGGTGTCCTGGGTGTTGTATTTGTGCATGGCCATTGTGACGTCACGTTTGGTGAAGCCGAGCTCATCGAACTCAGAGAAGCCGTCGCGGGGAGTGCCGGGGGTGTCGGGGGTGCGGGTCAGCGCGCGACGCTTCGCCTCCTGCACGACACGAGAGGACAAAGCAGAAACATCCATGGTGTCGTCTCGTGTCGTGTCGTGAAGGCAAGCGTCAAGTGTCCGTCCTCTCCCTAGCCATTCCATCCAGACACCCCCGCACCTGTTTCTCTCGCTCCTTCTTCATCGCTGTCGTCTCACGGTAGGCCGCCGGCAGAGCAGTTTCGCTCAGCGTCATGACCAGGTGGTCAATGGCCGCCTTGACCAGCACATCAACCCTCTTGTTGACGCCAGTCCCTTGCGCATCACCTTCGTCTCCCTTGTGCGCCACTGAAAGCACTGCCCGCTGGGCATCGATACCCTTGAAGCCCTTCTTGATCAGCTCCGTCGTCGCCGCCTGCACATCAGGATCCACTGAGTCAGCCGAGCCGCTGCCGTTGCCAGTGCTAGGGGCGGGGAGGGAGGACTGTTCGGCGTGTGCGAAGATCTCGAGGGCGAATGCCTTGTCCTCGTCGGTCAGGATGACTTTCCCGATGCCCTTGGGAGGCAGCGGCCGCTCCTTCAGCCTCGACGGCAGGTCAGAGAACCTGATGAAACGAACGGTGATGGGATGGAAGAGCAAGCAGAGACGAATGAAACATTCATCAAGCCTGCATGGCTGTGTATGTGTGTGTGTGCATCTGTCAGCATCGTGCCGACCTGCTGCGTGCACTCCCTTGGTGCCCGACATTGTGCCGTCCTCCTCCTCTGTTCGGCCGCCGACTTCCTCCACCTCGTGGCATCGCCGGCAACCACAGATCTCGCAAACCAAGACCTCTCGAGCAAATGGCGCGCGGCGTTTTGTCGCGAGACCGTTGAGCTCGCTGTTGGCCAAACGCCATCAATGCAGCGTGCTTTTACTACGCCAGAGGGAGCCTCGCCCTCGGCAGCTGTCCTGAGCCAGAAGGCGTCCACCAAGACCCCACTCATCAAATGGCTCCGGTCCTTCCTCAGTCTGCCCTCCGGGGTCGAGGACAAGGCGCGGGCAGCACTCTTCCTGCTCGCCTTGCCCTGCTACCTGCTCGCCTGCATCGGGTCCGACAGCCCAAAGAAAGAAAAAAGCACTCATGCATGTCATGGATGCTTGTGTGTCGTGTGCTTGTTTGGTCAATGGTATGCAGGTGGCTGGGTGTGTGGTCGTTTCTGGTGATTGTGGGAGCGGTGCTCGGGGGTCTGTGCATGGAGGACATCGCACTCATTAGATCAGCGCAGACATGGCTCAAGTACTCCGTCCCCCTCCGCGCGTCGGGCCACAAGGAGAGCTCTGTGCACAGCCCCATTGGCGGCGGCCCGCCTCAGTTCAAACATGACACACAGTGGCTGAACACAGTGGTGGGCGAGATGTGGCCCTGCTTCTCCAACTGGCTGTCGCGCATCCTCAAGGACACCATTCCCGGCGTGGTCAACTTTTATCTGAGTGGTGAGGGTGCCGATGCAGCTGAGGAGGAGAGCAAGGCCAAGCACGACCTGGCGAGCAGCCAGGAGGTGGCAAAGGCCAAGAAGAACAGCATGACGGTCGCCTTTGATGAGTTCCACCTGGGGAAGGTGCCGCCTGAGATTCTCAGCATAATGGACTTCCAAATGTCCGGGGCTTCTGTCGTGCTGGACATCATGTATCGGCTGCAAAGCACGGTGGGAACAGGCATTCTGCCGCATTCCTTGCAGGATGTGTGTCGTGTCGTGTCGTCTGTGTGCGCAGGGGAACGCGGCCATGTCTATATGGCAGGGCTCCTGGTGTCTCGGGGTGGTGGGCGTGAAGAACATCAACATGCAGGGGCGGCTGAGGTTAAAGTTCGAGCACTTCATCCCACAACCGGTGAGTGAGTGAGTGAGTGAGTGAGTGAGGGACACATGAGCTGTCTTACCCAGCCAGATACATGGCCGGACCATGTCTCTTACCTGCTGTACGTGGCTTCATGCAGCCATACTTTGCCGTCCTCCGTGTCTCCTTCGCAAAGAGACCAAAACTAAACTTTGACTTTGAGGCGTTTCGGTGGTCTCTCGGCATCACGAGGCTGGTCCGGACCATCGTCAGAGATGTTGTCCTCGGTGACAGAATCCACCCCGGCCCCCACTTTCCCACTGCTCACTCTGATGTCGTGTCTCTGTCTTTTGTGTGCATTGCAGAGGGGTTTGTGTATCCAAATGAGATGCCCATTCCTCTGTTTGACGAGACCACACTGCTGGACTTCTGCCAGCTGTCCTACCAGGACCTCAATCTCGTCGAGCCGCAGGGCTACCTAAAGATCCATCTTTATGCTGCGAAGAATCTCAAGGCGTCAGACCTACTGGGGCGGTCAGACCCATACGTCATCTTCTCTGTCGGTACGCAATGGACCATTCTTGCTGTCGGGGATGCACTCAGCGAGTGTGCGTGTGAGTCAGGTGGTCAGGACATGGTGCAGAGTTCCGTCAAGTGGCGCAATCTGAACCCGACCTGGAACGAGTGCTTCCAGCTCAAAGTAAGTAGCCCTGGACAGCAAGACGACGGGATTTCTATCATCCATCGCTTTCGTGTCTGCTGGTGGATAACAGATCCGCGACATCTCTGTCCAGGATCTCGACGTAGGCTGTGTGTGTGTGTCTGAGTTGATACGATGCGCGCATCGCAGGCTGGCTGGCTATTCTTTGATCTGACAGATCAGTGTATACGATTACGACGTCGGGACGGCTGACGATTTCCTGGGCAGCGTGTCCATACCACTGGCATCGCTGCAGAGGGACATCTCCATGCATAGAGTATACTCTAAGAGACAAAAACAGACAGAACGGCAAACAACAACCGAGCCCCAAGCTGGTCCCCTCTGTGGAATGAAGGCATGGACCGGACCTGTGTGTGCTTGTGGTGTGGTGGGTGCAGGAGTATTCGTTGTCGGCGTCAGAGGAGGTGACGTCCCTCGGCAGTATCGATGTCAGCCTCACGTGGATGCCACTCGGTAGCAAACCACATGCCATGTGGGCCCACCTGAACATGAACAAAGGACACAATGGCTGTGCTGTATGTATTTTGCTTGTGACAGAGAAATCATCTGGTGTAAGTAAGAGACAGATAGAGGAAGGAAAGACCTGTGGAAGACAGAGGGCGGAAAGGATGGCATGTCCGTCCGTCTTGTCCTTCCAGACATCTCGGCCGGGAAGTGGTCTCCCAACCGCTGCGGCCCCAACACCCACACTTCCGCGCAAAAGCGTCCCGGCCGCCACCAAGAAAAGCACCACGGGCAGCGCCAGCACCCTGCAACCTGCCAAAGTATCGAACACTCATAGGACGACGAGACACGCAATACAAGTCTTGTCTTGTCTCTCTGTGTGGTGTGGTCTGCAGGAAGCCCCCTCACCGCGTGAGTCGGACTTTGCGTCTCCCGTGAGTATGAGCCGGACAGTGTCGATGCAGAAGTCCATCCAGAACAAGATGGACGGCCTGCTCACTGTGGAGGTCCGCAACGCCACCAACATCCCATACGATGACAACGACCGCAAGTTCGACCCCTACGTGAAGCTCACTCTCGGGAAGATCGAGCTCGCCAAGCTGCCGCACGCCACGGGGCTCATGGCGGAGCAGCAGCGGCCGTCGGACGGCAATGTTGGTCCATATCGGGGGTGGTTCTACTCTGCCCAGAGCATCATCAAGAGGGCACCCAAGTCACACGTCAAGAAGACCAGGGTGCGGGGCGGGGCGGAGGGGCAGAGGAAAGGGGCTCATGCATGTGCTGTCCCATGTGTCCTCTTGTGTGCAGAAGATCGCCAGCAGTGACAGTCCCGAGTGGGACGAGGTATTCGAGTTTCACATCACCGATGGCGCTAACGATATCATATTCGCAGAGGTGACGGGACGAACGCCACGACCACTGCACTGCCACACACATGACACACATGTCTGTCTGCCCAAACTGGATGGATGGATGGATGGCTGAGTGCAGGTGATCGATCACAATGTCCTACGGGCCAACAACAAGCTGGCGTGGTTCCAGGTGCCCCTGCTGGCCCTGCTGCCGATCGATAGCTGGCCCGACGAGGCCAAAGACACGCTGGCCGACCACTTCAACGATGCGAGTGACCTGATGCCCCAGTGTGAGGAAAGCGACGCAAAAGGATTCCCCACCATGTGGACCGTTCAGCCGGCAGGTCAGCTCGAGCGGCCAGTACATAGTGTGTGGAGTGTGTCTCGTGGTTATATATGTTGCTTGTTTGATGTGTTGTGTTGTGTTGTGCACTGCAGATCGGTATGACGTGAGTGAGACGCGCGTGTCGGTTCGGTTCAAGTTCCAGAGATTTGTCAATGCCTGATTCATGAGCGGGCGGGGGGTCCCCGCTGCTGTGTGCTCTGCTGCTGATAGATACCTCTGTGTCACTCACTGATCCATGAGCCTTACTTGTCGACACCACACACACACGTGTCCACGCATCGCATCTATGTGCTCCATCCATCCATCCAGGCACAATCCACGAGTGAGTGTATGTCGGTCCTTCCGCTGCGCCCCACTTCACTGTCTCTCTCTCTCTCTCCCCCTCACTCTCTCTCCGTTCTGTCGCCCCCCGCGCGCACAAGTGAGTAACAAAACAACGGGTGGCTACACGCACTCTCTCTCTCTCACTCGCTGCACAACGATCCATGGCTGATCAATAGATCCGCTCAACACACACACACAAGTGCCCATCTCAAAATCCCCCCCTGGACATTTGTGGACGCATTCGTAGGCACCCAGGCCAGCGCGCCGGCAGGCAGACAGACAGCCTGCCAGACAGAAAAACTTCGCTCACAGGGAGGCAGGCATTGGAGGGACGGGCGGATGGATGGCCAGAGAAAAATATGATCGATCAGAATGCATATCTGGCGTGTCGCCCGCTCTTCGTTTCTCAGACCAATACTACACGGATAACCAGCTAGTCAGTCATGCCTCGAAAATCTAGCTGAGGGCTAGCCCATCAACACGACAAGCAGAGGCAGGCAGGCAGGCAGGCAGGGAGTAGGAAAGAAAAATTGGGGGAAAGCAGGCAGGGTACGGTGCGGCATCTTGCGTGGGATGGAAGGCAGCGGAGGGAGGTGTATATACTGCTAGCGTAGACAGGGGGCACGGACGAGCCCACACAGCACATATATAGCGGAGTCGAATTGGGTCACTCATTATCTAGCCGTTCACATCCTCTTTGGGTCACCAGAGGGTGAAAAGGCGTACCTTGACAACGCAATCAAAAGCCGAGCGGCGAGCAGCCAGTGGCTCGCTGCCGGACTCATGATTGCGCCAGCATGTCACGCGCCCACCCTCCCAAGACACTGCTGGGCCCCCGCGGCAAGGATGGACACTCCGGAATGAACACACACACCCCGATGGAGTACCATCGTCTGTCTGTCTGTCTGTCTGTCAGGGATCGCCTCCCTTTTTGTTCCGAATGCACTAGTCACTTCACTTCGACACGTCAGTCAAGAAGTCAGCAAAGAGATACATAGATCAGATCTATCAGTAAGCAGTGAGTGGCGAAACACAAAAACGAAGGAGAGCACACCCCACCTGCCTGCTTGCCTGGCATCGAACGTGTGTATGTACGTGTGTATGTATGGAGCCAGACTGCCATCACGGATGGCACTGCCTGCCCGTGATGGCTGGTGTCGCATTGCATCGCATCGCATCGCACGACCCTTCTCCTCTGCCCCCTCCCCTCCCTCCGCAGCACCAGTATGAAGCGCTAGGTAGCTAGCTAGGCACAGCACGGACGATGCACTTGACGTAAGTGCACTCTCTCGTATGTATGGATTCATGTACGCAGCCCCCGGCTGCCTTTCGGACTACACTCACTCTCTTCATCCCTCTCTGCCCTCTCACCCGCTCCCTCCACACCACGACACAAATAGTGAGCAAATGGACCAGTGAGTGTGCGAGTGAGTGCGGTGCACCGGCTGCTGGGCAGCGGTGGGCTACAGGCGACTAGGGGAAGGCCGGTGTGTGGTCGATCCATCCTGTCTGTCTAGAAAGGGCATGGCTTCTCCTCGAACCGTCCCTTCTCTTTGTCGAGCCGCGACCACACGGCGTCCTTCCTGTCGAGCTCTTTCTCGGCATCCTTGACCGTCTTGTACTCGTGCTGTGACTGACGAGAACATCACACAGACACACAGACAGACATGATTTCTGTTGTCTGCATGGAGTGTGCTTTCTCATGTAAGTCACCTACCTTGCCCTTCTCATATTCGGCAAGGTTGGACATCCGCTGCATGGTCGTCTTCCGGTCCTCCTCGGAAAGAGGGTTCTGACACACCGCGCCACGCCGCACGACACACAGGGACAGTTGACACATTCGCTGCACACACCGGTCCCCCCCCCCCTCCTTTCTGTCTGCTGACTGACTGACCATGTAGAGGAATGTGAACAGCAGAGGCAGGTAGACGAACGACATGAATGCGCCGACTCCGATGGTGACGGGCGGGAACTTGAAGAGCGGCGCCGACGCCGACAGGGCGTCACTCGCCAGCCGGGACACACCCTGCACCACAGCACTCCGCCACAGACGGGGGGTGCCGTACACACCGAGGGCAAAGGGCAGCCGAGACCGCTTCTTCACATTCTGATGCAAGGCACGCCCAGTCACAGACAATGAATGGCCGAGACCACGTTGTCTGTCAGTGGTGCTGTGGTCTCACCTTGAGCACGTTGGCGAGCTGGTAAGAGTCTTCGATTGCCTGGCATCCGCCCTGGCCGAGGTTGGGCATCATGGGATGTGCGGCGTCGCCGAGGATGGTGATGGGCCCCTTGTTCCAGCCCTGCATGGCGGGGGGCCGGTCGTAGAGGTCCCGCTGCTGAATGTTCTCCTCCAGCGTCGCCTCCAGGATGTCCGTCACCTCGAGGCTCCAGCCGGTGAATCTCTCGAGCAGGTATGGGACGGCCTGCCCCAGCATGTGTTCGACGGTGTCTGGCGGCTGGTTGATGAAGGCGTACCACTGGATGCGGCCCCGGCCCACATCGCTGCACACGAAGTACTGGTCCACACTCAGGTACACCTTGTACGCCACCTCGTTCACGTCACGAGGCCTGCAATCAACACACAACATGCACACACACACGTCAGTCAAGGCTGCCATGCCATCGACCTGTGCTCTTGTCATGTCAACTGCAGCACAGCATACCTGTGTTTGCACACTCCTGTGAAGACAGTGAAGCCCGAGTAGGTCGATGTCTCATATCCAGGTTTGGTGGCGTCGCTCCACTTTTCGCCCATCATCTTGGCCCGCACCACCGACCAGATGCCGTCCGCACCCACCAGCACGTCGCCGTACGTCCGCGTGCCGTCCGACACATCGATGGCCACAGTGCCGTTCTTGAGGATCTCGTAGCCGATGACGGACCGGCCGAAGTGCAGGTGGTCCGGGCCGAGGTGATGCTTGAGAGTGGCTTGCAGGGCGGGTCGGTCGACCACACGAGTGAGGGGAAGGCCGGAACGGATTGCGGGGCTGCCCGTGTCGAACTTGGCGATCCATCTGGTGAGGGTGGGGGTGCGGGGCAGACACACAGATGGAGGGACGGGAGGGATGGGTGAGGGAGGGAGGTATAGGGAGGTATAGGTGTGATGTGGTTACTTACTTGTTGGTGAATGGGTGTTTGAGGCCGTTGATGCGGTTGCCTGTCTTGGTGCCCGCTGCCATGATCTCCTCAGCCATCACCTATCGTGTGCAGGCAGGCATGGAAGACACACGACGCAGAAAGACAACAGATGGGATCCATGCCATGCCAGCCTCCCTATCTATGTCTCGCCCTGTGTGCTGTGCTGTTTGCGCGTACGTAATTGATGGCCTCTAGGGCGGCGAGTGCGTTGCTCTGCAGCTGGATGGGCCCGCCGAACTCTCGGTACTCGGGCGTCTTCTCGAACACCTCGTAGTTGATGCCGTGCTTCTTGAGCGCGTTGGCCAACGTCAGACCGCCAATGCCACCTCCTGCCACGATAACCTGACCAACGGCGTCACACCCACATCCACAGCAGATGAACGAGGGAGCCTCTGCAGCATCCGCTGATGCGATGCGATGCGATGCGATGCGATGCGAGCATGCCTACCCTGAGGGGCCTCTCGGGCGTGACGGTGTCGGTGTCCTCCTTGGCGCCTCCAAAAATGCTCAGATCCAGTGTGGTCCACCCACCCTGCACAGCACCAGATAAGCAGAGCTGCATGCGCGTGTCCCTCTCCCTCTCCCCCCACCTCACACACCCACCTCGACGTAAGTCGGCGGCTGCCGCCTGAGTATGTTGATGCTCAGCTCCTCTCCTCCCGACGAGACACTCCTGCCGCCCTGACCTCGCCGTGCCCGAGATGCCAGTGACGGCCGGGGATGAAAGGCGGACGCGGGACACATGAGGGCCACCAGGCAGCACGCCAAGGCTCTCAGATGCGCGTGGCCTCGCTGCCTTCGCCGACTGCTGGCCGACATATCTGAGTCGCTCTGCGGGGGAGATGAGACGACGGAACGGGTGCAGGCGGCCGACGTGGCTGCCATCTCGCTGCTGCTGTCGCTTCTGGTGGATGTGGGGGTGAGTGTGGTGCCGACCGCTGCCCGCGCGAGCGAGCTCTCTTGCGAATGGCAGAGGGGAATGGCAGAGGGGACTTGCCCGGGTGGGAGTGGGAGTCAGATGTCCTGCTATCAAAGATCTGCTTTCTTTCCAACCCGCGGCTGCGCGCTAAGACATGCAAGCTCAAAGTCAGTGGCCGTCTGATACGACCCACTGCAGCTCGTCAAATCCCAGCCACTGAAGCACGTGCCCTGTACCACCAGCCCTGAATCAGCTCCTTCCTTTGGCACCAGCCAGCAATGCACAGTCGCGCCCTTCGTGTCGCCTCCCGAGGCATCCGTCCGACCTCGGCGCAGAGCCTGGCGCCTGTGGTGACTAGGATCACCACTCTCGTGGGCAGGAGGGCTGAACGCGCCTTCAGCACACCGTCGCAGAGCGATGCCGACACCACGCACAGTCCGAAGAATGTCGAGGCCGTCGGGGAGGGCGGGGTGAAGGCAGCCGAGGACAACCGAGTCGATCTCTCGGCCCTCGTCGGCGGTTTGCCTCTGGCCGGTGTTTCGCAGAAGTACTATCCCATGAGCTATGTCAGGCGGCAAAACTCATTTGTAAGCGAAGCGGCTGCCGTGCCGTGAGGGAGCTGTGTGGGGTGGGTTGAGTGCACGAGTGAGTCACTTTGTGCTCTGTCTCTCTGTGCGCATTGCATTCCATTGTCTGTCTGTCAGGTTGCGCGCTTGATGCTTGGCCTTGGGTGTCGTGAGTTCTTTGGCCGCCGTGAGTTCTTCCGCGAGAGCGGTATGGGAGCCGTCCAGGCACTCCAGTTCGTCGCCGAAAAGGTGAGTGGGAGGCATCGCATCAACTGACAACACATAAAGACAGACAGACAAACAGACAGACAGAGGTAGAGGACGCAGTGGGCATTGCCACTCAGTGTTCGGTTGCCTGTTGGGTGAGTGCAGCTTTCTGAAGGCCGTGACGGTTTGCGAGAGTTGGAGGACGTGTGCGACGGCCGGCTGATCGAGCACTGGGGCAAGGCCATGGAGGCGTTGGAGGCCGCCAAGTGCAAGGTCAACATCGATGTCAGCCCGCAGTACGCGCAGCTCGACAGCCTTAGAGTCATACTCGGTAGATCAGCGATTGATTCAACACCGCAGCTGCGGAGGGTGCACGGCTGTTCTCTTCCACACGCATGTGTCTGTGTGTGCGTGTGCAGGTGCCCACAGGGGCGATCAGTTGGGTGAGGGCGAGACGCTGCTGCCCTGGTGGGGCCAGTTTGTCGTCGGCAAGGCGGGCGACAAACCGATCACCTTCGACCACATCGATGTACGCGGGAACCACAGCCCCGCCTGTCCTCTTCTCCTCACATCCATCACTCATCGGTTGTTGTGTCGTCTGTCTGTCTGTCTGTCTGTGTGTGTGTGTGTGTGTGCAGGGTGTGCAGCGTAAGGGCGCGGTTGTGCAGATGGACGTTGTCGTGGGAACGTTGCAGAAGTTCCAGATGAACTTCGACGACAGGAGGCAGGAGACCATCAAGGTGCCCCCCAACCACCACAGCCACCACCTGCACGTCCTCAGATTCGAAATGCCGCTCAAAAAGGCCGACACGTAAGGCCAGCTGCCCATGCAAAGCACACACAAACCTCACAACACACTGCCTCTTGGTTGTCTGTGTGTGTCGTATAGGAGTCAGTTCGGTGAGGTGGATCGTCCGCAGGCTCCGTCCCGCTCCCCCAGCCTGTATGAGCTGGTCACACACATGCAGATGCAGCAAGCGGGGCCTTGGACCCTGGTCGACGTCAACAGGGTCCTCCAGGGCAACCCTGTCCTCAATTTCCCCACACCAACTGACCCACAGCCACAGCCGGCCGCCGACACCGGTAGTGCAGTTGAGGAGGTGCCTGCCGGAGAGGGCGGCGCTGTACATCCGCTGACCGCTCTGCTGGACGGAGAAGGTACGGAACGAACACTATCAGAAGCAGGTGATAGGGGGGATGTTGCTGATACCTTGGTGTGCTTTCTGTTTGTCTCATCAGAGTTGGTGCAGTACGATGGCATGGCTCCTGGGTATGTTAGTCGTGTGCTGGAGAGGGCGTCGCGACGCGATGCTGCTGCCAGCGTCACCAGCAGTGCCCCTGAGGACACACCCTCACCCACTCCCACAGCCACGCCCGAGAGGACGTACACCAAGGAGGCCATGCACAACTCCACTCAGCAGCAGCGGCAGGAGGATGACAACGATGACAACGACTCCCACTCTGGCGGCACGGGGATCGTCTCCAAGCTGCCACCTCAGTTCAGGCGCTTCCACAAGAAGCCTGCTGCCGCCCCCGCCCCGCCCACACCCGCCACACACACGCCACACCAAGACAGGGAGTGATTGAACAGGAAAAGTTGAGTTGAGGAGTGATGAAGGTCCCCTGATGGCCGGAAGGACCATGTTTTTCTCTTGTGTGTCGTCGGGCTGTGTGTTTGTTTCGACACTGTATTTTTTCCTTTTCCATGGAGGGGAGGGGGTGGGGGGAGCGGCTGGATGCGTGTGTCTTGTCGTCTCTGAGTGTACGTCTAGTTGTCGCCCTGTGCGCGTGGCTGACGGATGGATGGATGGAGCCACACAGACGGACAGACAGCTGCGTGGAGTGGTGTGCGTCTGTGTGTGAGTCTGGTGAATGAATGCCGAAATGCTCGCTGCCTGCCTGTCTGTCTGCCTGTCTGTCTGTCCGGCTGCTGGCTGTGCCGTGTTGCTGTCCATTTTTCTGTGACTCCGTCACGAAGTCACGCACCAATTCTGGTATGTAGAATGTGTGAGCAAGAGAGAAGAGAAGAGGCCAGGGCGATGAGAGCGAGCACCAGAGGGACTGACTGGGGACGGGTGGGTGAGGGGAAGTGAGAGAGAGTGAGTGGAGTGGGTGAGAGCGACCAATGACTGATTGACGGATGTGCGCTCCGCACGAGACAGATTTGCATACCTCGGTACATAACATACATACATCTGGGCGTGGAACAAAGGCTTGTCAGGCCTCTGTATCACAAGCTAAGCTATCGGCTGGTCGGCTGGCTGGCTGATGCTATCTGAAGACAGGCAAGACAGGCAAGCGTATATGCATCCATGGCATAGGTGCCGTTTCATGGAGTGGTTGATGGATGTGATGGGGGTGGACGTGTTGTGTTGTCCAGATGCACTGCATTGGCACGCCACGCCCGAAGGGTGCGGAGAAAGGAAGGAGAGGAGGGAGCACAAGCCATACGTAACTCAGGCACAGTGTCCGTGCGTACCTGTGTATCTGTCTGTGTACGTGTGTGTGTGTGTGTGTGTGTGTCGGGGGGGACTCTTTTACAGCCCCTCACGGGGCCCGTGTGTGCACCCCTGCCCTGACAGTCAGTGTTGTGTGTGGGCAAACGTCTTTATACAATCACTGAAACAGACAGACATCCCCCTGTATGACCTCAACGCCTGTCGATATGCCCACACTGTACTGTCACGCAGCCTCGCCCGCAAGTCTAGGCAGGTAGTTGATGGCCATCACAACGCAGCCGCAGCTCAGAAACAGACTGCTCGACACCCACTGATTGGACCCCGTCGCCTACACACGCGGCACAAATATAGGTGGCCTATTCCATAAATTGGGTGTGTCATGTCATCCTTACCGCGACGAATCTTTCCCATCCTGGGGCGGCTGCCTTGGCCTCCTTGCTCTCAAATGTGGCGGCCTGCACACACACGACACACGATCGGGACAAACAGAGAGACATCCGGGCGCTCACTCGTAGTGCATTCATGAGGCTTGAGCGGACCATCAAGATAATTGAGAGTATGATGAGGACGACGCCCATAACGAACACATAGAAGCTTCGGCCCACCCGGAAGAAGGCGACAATCTCATCACCGGCCTCCTCCTTCAGCCGCAGAAAAGGCCTCATCCTGCCTTTGCAAAACAGAGCCCTTGAAGCGAGGATGCGTAGGCTGAGCTAAGGACTGCTCGTCACCGTCTCTGCGGCGCGTTTTGCGACTCCTCTTTTTGGCGCGAGCTCGAGGGGAGCTGCGAGCTAAGCGGTGATGTCCTTTTCTCCCTTTCTCCTTCTGATCCTTTTGGCATTCAATGTGGCCCACGCGTGGCGCCATGGAGCGCCCATCACGCTGCCGATACTGAGAAGACGCATCGGCATTGATCCTCTCAAGGAGGACAAAATGGTCCTCACCTTTGGCGTCTTCCAGGTGGAAGGGTAGGCTTACCGGCACATCGACAGACAGGGAGAAACAAGAGGCTCATGCATGCCTCTTCAGCCACTCGCCGCCCTGCTCTCTGTCAGGCTGCCTGGTCTGCAGAACTGGCTGCTGTACAAGCCGCCTGTCGCCAGGCCAAAGCCGAGCTCCAAATGTGTCCTCTTCTTCCCAGTAAGCCAGCCGCACAGTCGTTATGGGATGCGGACACTCCTGAATGCATCTGCGTCTGTGTGTGTGTGTGTGTCAGGGTGACATATCAGACTTCGCTGGGAGCTGTAGGATGGGGCCGTACAGCATAGAGGCGCTCGCGTGGGTCGTGGCGCAGCGATTCCAGCCAGATGACCATCTGGTGAGTGACGAAGGGAAGGATTGACTGCGCCAGCCAGCCCAGCCACACGTGCCGTGTACTGTCTGTCATACATGTTTGCCTGCCGATGATCGGATCGATCAGGTGGTGGTCCGCGCCCAGTCGTTCAACGACATGTTTGCCGTCTACAGTAACTTTCTCCCCGTTGACCACACAGGCAGCCCCACCACACAGCCCCCTAATCACTCAGCCGTCACGCACCTGCAGCGGCTCCTGGCCAACCTCGACAGGCACATCCGGACCCCAGCCACCCCTTCCTTCTCTTGTGCGGGGTCCTCCTGCTCGCGAAACGATGACGAGAATGGTGCGTGGGGTACGCAGTGCGTGCCACTGAGGGACTGCTGCGATGGGGATGGGCTCGCGAGCCGTCATGATGATATGAATGGTGATGATATGGCGCTCGCCGCACGGCCCATGACTCTAGTGGGGTTCAGCAAAGGTGAGCGTGCTGGGGAGAGGTAGCAGAGTGGCGTGTGGATTGATGTGCTCTGTGTGTGTGTGTGTGTGTGTGTGTGGTACGTGTGTGTCAGGTGGTGTGGTGTTGAATGCGTTGATGCGTGAGGGTGGGAGGGGAGACTTCTGGAGTCGTGTGGATGCCGTCCACTTCGTCGATGCGGGTCTCAACACCCGGGGGGTCTTCCCCCTCACCAGCAAGGAGCTGGAGACCCTCAGGCAACACGTAAGAAAGCAACACACACAGGCAAGTTCATGTACACAGCTACTTACTGAGTAGCGTGTCTCCGTCTGCGCTGCGGTGCAGGTGTCGGGGTCGTTTGCCGTGTATCTGCATGGCACCCCCCGTCAGCTCAGCGACAAGGCACGGCCGTGGATAGGCGAGGAGTTCAGGGACTTCTTCCAACGGGTGAGGGAGGGAGGATGGGGCGGGGCGGGGCGGGGAGGGGTTGGCACATAACACACATTCACACAGCCGTGATCGATGTTGCAATGGTGTTCGTTGGTTCGTCAGGGCCGTGCGTCCGGCATCCGTTTCGTCTCCCTCGAGTACCTGAAGAAGACGCCCGCCACTCTCAACTCCCACTTCGAGGCCCTGCGGGTGTTCGCCACCAACGAGACCCAGGCCGCGAACAACCCCTTCCTCAATGGGCCTCATACGCCCAACGGCAGGTGCTTCTTCGACGAGTGGATGCACCAGAGCCTCGCCGGCAGCTAGCTGGTGACCAATTAGCGGACAGAATGGCTGAGGGAGGGGAGGTGTGTAGAATTGAGTAGCAGCTGCCATTGCATTGCGGCCGATGATGCCGACAAATGTGACTGACTTGGTTTTCTTGTGTTTTCATGTTGCGCGTCCGCCTTCCACCGACGCATGGCGCGCCAAGGCAGGGGCGACCCGCGGCCGGGGCACATGTGATGTGCTCCAGGAGCCAGCCGGTCATTGGTGCGCAAGGCTCGATGTGACGTGACGCTGAGTGAGTGGCATGACGTTGTTAGCAAAAACGCAATCAATCGTCTCCATCATGTATGTGAGCATTGTCGGTCTCATTCATTGCGACTGACTGAAGGTCCCGCGCGTCAACACACACACAGACATGAAGACAGACTATGACATACGACAGACAGACAGACAGACAGACAGACAAACGGACAGGTGGCGGCCTGGCCATGTGTGTGTAATTGGTTGGACTCAGTCAGACAACCCGCGTAACATCCACACAGGCAGGCAGGCAGACAGCCGAGACAGGGAGGGAGGGAGGGGGTCAGAGACATCCATTCATTGTGTGAATCTTCCTTTCCTTCCTACAGCAAACCAAACCCCACACATGCATACGCTCTTCGTCATGAAAGCAGCCGAACTTACCACACCCTCCCTCCACCCGTATAGTTAGTCAGTCTGTGGTCTGTGTGTGCGAGCGCTGCTGTGCGGCCTGTGCCTGCAGCTGGGCCCTCTCCCTCTCCCCCTCCATCTCCTTGGCGGCGGCAGCAGCCATGATCTTGCGGCGCGAGTCGAGTTGGGTGCGGAGGAAATGCACCGCTTCGAAGAGAATGCGGTCGACGTGGCCGTTGCCGTGGGGCACCACCGACGAGCCGCTCGCTGGCGTGTCCTCGGCTGACACCTGCTTGGCCGCCGTGCTCTTGAAGACGTTCAGCAGCTGACACAAGCAAGAGGCGACAGAGAGACGTGGCAGACAGCGCGTGATGGCGTTTGTCGTTCTGCGTGCAGTGGACGTACCTGCTCGACGGGCATGTTGATGAGGGCTTCGACGGTCCAGAAGTCCCCTGACAGCCCGCTGCCACCATTGGCCCTGAATGCACACATCCATCCATCCATATTGCGAGCAGGTCCGTTAGTTCCCTCTCTCCCTCCAGCCACGCATGTTCAAGTCAGTACTCGACAAAGCGATTGATATCTTCTACAGTCATCTCAGCAGCCTGAAGCACCGACCCAACAACACAACACACAAGAACAACATTCCCATCCATCGATCCATGCATCCATCGCTTCTTGTTGTTGGGCTGGTTACTTACATTGAGTCGGGTAGCTTTGTCTCCGTCGGTGTTGTTTGCCTGCGTGCGATTGGCGTGTCGGTTGGCACCAACCGCAACTGCTGGTGCAGCCGCCGCCGCCGGCATCCGTTGGACCTGACTGGTCGACCGCTCACCCTCCTGCCCCTGCTGACCGCACCCACCGCCCAATAGCCCCTCTAACACAGCACCACCACCACCACCAGCACCAGCACCAGCACCAGCACCTGCCTCCTTCTCACGCAGACCATCACCCTGGTCCCTCCCCTGCCTCTGCTCCTCCTTCTCATCCAGGCCGTCCATGGCCATGCGCCCCACGCGATACATCCCCACACCGGCCCCCTTCCCACCAGCACCACCCCCAGACGCCACCCCGGCAGCAGCAGCCGCCGCCTCTCCCGGCTCCAGCAGAGGGTGGGCCGCAGCGCCGCGGATGAACGACGGCGGCTTGGGGTTGGTCCCCTCGGTCTCGAGGTTCTCGTCCTCCTCACTGACCATCTCCTCACCGCTGCGGTCGAACATGGGGGGCCCGTAGTATGGACGTCCATCGCTGAATGCTAGGAGGGGGACGGGGGCGATGGGACACTTCTTCTTGCTCAGAGGGTTGCCCTGCTGCTCGCGGGATGCGGTCTGTCGGGGGCTGCATCGGGTGCGCTTCTCCCTCTCGTTCTTCTTGATGTTGCGGAGGGCGTCCAGCGGCTCATCGTCAGGGTCTCTGCTGCTGTGCACGACACGCCGAACCGGGGAACCGCCAGCAGCAGCAGCAGCCGCAGCCGCAGCCGCAGCCGCAGCAGCAGGAGGTGTGTCTTGTCTCTTCTGGCCACGAGGGGGGGCGCGGGGGCGGCGGTGGGGGTGGTCGGGGCTGTCCTGGTCCTGCTTGGGGTCGATTTCCTGTTTCTTCTCCTTGATGTGTTCCTTCTCGAGCTTGTTGAGGGCGCGCTGGTGCTGCATCTCGGGAAAGCCCTCCGTACTCGACACCAACAGCCTGCATGCATCGCACACATGACACACCAAGTCAATGCAAAGCGGTGGTGCGGTGCGAAGGGTCTTTCCAGGTGTTTCAATATATACGTACTCGACTTCTTTCTTCGTGAGGTGCTCCGAATCGTTATCAGTGTACACGGCGAAGTAACGCAGCTGAGGACTCCCCTAAGCAAAGAGAATGTCAACCAACGCACAACAAAGAAAACAAAAGGTGCGCAGTTCTCTGTTTCGTGACGAATTGGGTCTGTCAGCTGACCGCCCTGCCGCGGCTCGCGGGAACCACGTTCTCCTAACATACACACATTTCACACAGCACATATGTGACGCCTGGACGAACACCATTCGGGCAAAGAGACGGTAGGGCTTTGCTGACCTTATAGATCACCTTGCCCCAAAAGAGGCCCTGGCAAAAATGTTCTGCAGCACACAAACAACAGTGACAAAGCAGCGCGTGTGCACGTGCATTCGATTCGTGCACCGCACCGCTGGCCTCCCTCCCTCCCCCTCTCCCCGCCCCATGAGACAGCCAGCCCTCTTCGCTCACTCTGGAAGAATGACTTGAGCAGCCTGTCGGACGGGTCACTCTCGGCGAAATAGTCCTTGTCCTTCTTCGACGCCATCGCTCCTCAGCTTGCTTCTCAACGGCAACACCAACACGCAGCTGCACCAGCCGAATGAGCAAAAAATGCTGGGGGCCGACGCGTGAAGCCTTGCGAGAGCTGATGTGGTAGAATTGAGGCAGCAGTGGTCGAAAGGTGTCGGCAGAGCGTTCCACAGCTCCACACACGGCGCCTGTGGACAGAGAGAAGCACCAATATGCGGGTACATGTAGCGGCAGGGGCCCGATGCATGGTGGCACGGACCTTGGATGGAGACTCTGCAATGCACTTCGTGTCTATTCAACACGCAGATCCTGCAACGGCGAAAAAAGTTCGAAAAACTCGGGAGGGCACTGCGAGCTTGCGAGCTTTTGTGTTGCCCCAAGACTGTCTCTAACCATCCTCTTGTAGCCTTGTCATTCATCGATTGATGGTGCGGAGTGCTTACCCCTACCTGCGGAGGAGTTTCCTGGCTGTCCTCAACGTCGCAGTGCTTGTCCGGGAGGCGGTGTCTTCTCTGCGGGCCATCTCCTCGCGTCCCCTCCCGCCTGGCCTCCCGCTCTTCATCAACCCATCCCCGCCCCTCGTTGCATTAAGAAGGAGAAGTTGCATTCGCCTCGCAAGCTCGTCAGCAGCAGCTGCGGTGCCAGTTGCGAGTGCACCTGTCGTTGTGGTCTACAGCCGAGCTGGCTGCCAGTTCTGCCGCCGTGCAAAGGAGCTCCTTGAGTCGCGGGGCATCGAGTATCTTCTGGTGGATGTGGAAGCTGAGCCAGACAGATTCGACGAGGCGAGGGAGCGTGCGGGCCAGAATGACATCCGGACGGTCCCTCAGATCTTCATCAATGGTGGCTATGTGGGGGGCTATGACGATCTCTCAGCATTGGCGGAAAAGAAGGACCAGCTTGAAGGGCGGGTGAGGGAGGCTGAGCGGCTGCCCGAGAGTGCTCGGGTCCTTATCCACCCTACACCGTCCGAGAAGATCGGCAACATCCCGGGATGGGACAAGAAGCTTGACGACCTTGCGCACAAGCTCAAAGGGATGAAGGAGATCGCCGTCACGCGGCCGCTCAACCTCTTCGCCGAGCCGTCAGGCGAGCCGCGCGACGCATTGAAGATGAGCAGTGCCCTTCGCCGAGTCTACTCGCTGATCGAGGAGAAGACGGTGGACGGCGGATCGGTCGACTACAGCAAGCTTGAGAGCATCGACGAGTGGTTTAAATACCTGGCGCTTGCAGTGGAGCTGCAGTCAGTAGAAGGGCTGGAGAAGCTGACGGATGTGGAAAAGAGGGCGTTCTTCATCAATCTCTACAACTGCCTGACTTTCCACGGTGTGCTGGTGTTCGGCTCGCCTGGGACCTCACTGTGGCAGAAGTATCAGTTCTTCAAGACAGGCAAGGTCTCCTATCGCATCGGGGGGGTCGATCTATCCAACGACGACATCGGTGAGCAACCATGCAAACACGACTGGGGTGCGCAACTGTGCATCTTCTGGTTCTGTGGTTTATGGGTGTGCTCAGAGAATGGCATCCTTCGTAACGGTGCGGCCCCTTTCCCCAAAGGCGATCCGCGCACTGCCCTCCAGATCCCCCTTGATCCTCGCATACACTTCGCCCTCAACTGTGGCTCCCGGGGCTGCCCACCCGTGTCGGTCTTCTCTGCCGACAACCTGGAAAAGGAGCTCCGCAGCGCCACAGGGGCCTTCCTCAGCGCCTCTGACAACTGCCATGTCACGAAGGGCACAGTGCGGCTCTCATCCATCTTCAAGTGGTACCCGCAGGACTTCACTGGACCAGTGGACAAATCAGAGCAGCCGGCCGCGCTGCTTACATGGGTAGCAGACCAGCTGGGAGAGGACCAGGGGGAGACTCGCAAGGCCATCCAGGACATACTTGACAACCGGGAGAGTCGGCCCATCAGGATCGAGTACTCTGACTATGACTGGGGCGCGAACAGTGTGGACAGGCAGCCGGTGGGCGGGAAGCAGGGGAGCTGGCTGGACCTCTTCTCCTTTTAATGGAGCTGTGACAGGGTGTGAGGGATGAAACAGACTGACAGAGAGCCTTGTTTTTGACTATCAGTGTACACTGTACAGAGGGAGGGGGGGAGGGAGCTGGATGATCAGAGCAGAGCTTTCTGGCTTTTTCTGTGAACGCAGTGGTATTTCTCAGATTTTCCCGGCAGCGACTTGGAAGCCTCAAGCATTGATGGTGCGTATTGTTGCTGTCACTTCACATGGACAGAGAGACACGGAACAATGAAGTGTGCGATAAATGAAGGGCCCAGTGTAACGTGACGCCTCCCCAAAGTGTGATGGCTGCTACCCGATGCTGCCCAACGTACATGCAACATGCACCACGAAGAACGACAAATGTCAAAGGGAACATGGGCGTGGCCCAACATACATGCAAAGGCACATGCACACTCACACGGCGTCCTGCCAATAAATTGGACGTCTCACTACTGCAGCACAGCACTGAATGAACCCCAAATAGATCAGGAAAACCAGAAGGAAAGCGAAAGCCCCAGCAGCAAGGAGGAGTGCAGAAACCGACTACCGCCGCCCCGTGAGCAATGAATACTCAATGAATGCCATATGAGGGATAGCAAAGGATGGCATCGTGCATGCAAGAAGAGCAGCCCCCCTTAGTCTACAGAGCAGAGCAGTGCGGCGCCCCTGAGTTTCCAGTGTGAAGGGTGCTGCTCGGTCTTGAGGTTGACTCTGAAGATGAGGTACTTGTCCGTCCTCTTGGGGTACTTGTACACGGGGCAGTCGTAGGGGCCGTACTGACCAAAGTCCATCCCACGGCTCTTCTTCTCCTTGGTCGTCACCGCCGTCACATACAGCACCTGCACAGACAAAGGCAGCATAACAAGCAGACAGAGTCGCGATGTGTTGGCCCACACTGTTGGGAGACATTTCGTGTCGCCTTTCGTTTGACGTACCGGCATTTTGTCCGTGAGTACTCTGGGAAGCGATTCGTCTAGTCTTCCCTCCTGCCAGTGCCATCTGCATCCCTCGATGAAGAGGCCGTGGATGTTGACGCCCTCCTCGGGACCGTCCTTCACCTTCTCCACGTCATAGGTACGAACCTACACACAAAAAAAGCACACACACTTGTACTTGTACACCGGGGGGCTTGCTTTGTGTGTCATCGTGCGTAGCGTACATACCTCAGTGTGGAAGACGACGTCGTCGAGGGCCCACTGGTCCTTCTTGTGCTGCCGCGTCACCTGACACACACATCAACGCCCACGCAGACAGATAGGCTATGTCGTGAGGTCTATCTATCTCCCTGCTCAGCCTTCTTGAATGATGGCTGTTGCGAGTGACCTCCTGTCTCATGGCAGTGAGGAATCCCTGTGGGTTGAAGAAGCCCGTCAGCCAGTAGGACTTCTGCCGTCCCTGGTTGAGCCAGGTGGTCAGCTGCTCCACACGCTGCTGCAGGCCCGTGAACCACTTGCCCAGGTTGGGCGACAGCCAGGAGATCTCCGCACCGCTGGGGTCATACAGCCACTTCCGGGGCACCATTGTGTCGAACAGGGAGTTCATGTCGTCCTGGTGTGGACGCATGAAACACACAGAGGAAAGGAGACATGATGCTCGTGCACAATATCGTGTCTCGCTCACCTGAAGGTCGGGTGTCATGATGATGAGCCCATCGATGGCGTCGATGATGTCCTTGCAGTTCTTGCGGACGATGGCGATGATCCGCTGCATCCGCTGGATCTCTTGGAATAGAAAGATGTTGAGCGGCGCCTGGAATCCCTTCTCGGCCAACCCTGGCGGCCCCTTGAGCTTCTTGATTTGCTCGCGGAAGATCTCTTCGACATAGTCGTCGGGCATCTTGCCGAGCAAATCGGAACAGCGCTCCTTGACCTGTTCCTCCCTTGTCTTGCCACCGCCCGCCCCTGCGTCTTTGGGCTGTGTCTCCTGGATGGTGAGGAGCATTGCCTGTGACTCCTTGATTCTGTAGGTGAGGTCGGCGTTGACGTGGAGGCCAAACACTGTGGGGCTGTCGACGGCAGGCACCGTCTCGATGTAGTCACGGTACTGATGGATCTCCAAACCTTCAGGGACCTTGTACCTGCATGAACGAACGCACAGAGAGAAATGAGATGGGCGGTGAGCAGAGCAGAGAGGGGGCTTTGGTTGGTTGGATGGATCTTACATGAACTCGTTGGCCTGTCCAGTGGGCGTGTTGAATGTGAAAGTTGGCCTGAATATCTCGTCGTTGAAGTACTTGGTCGCGTATGTGATGAAGAGCTCTCTGTCCAGATCGTCAGTAATCCTGCCGCCGTACTGCACCTCAGCTATCATGTAGCATATCGTGTTCCACGACAACGGCTGACCGACCTGATTGATCGACCAGTCACACACACACACACACACACGGCCTACCTCTCCCATCTCGCATGAGCAGGTCATGTCTCTTATCTCACCAGCACAGTGGTTGAGAGATGTTTCTCGAGGAAGAGCAGCGAGGCCTCGAGGTCGGAGTAGTTGTACTCGTATGGAATGCACCAACCAAGTGGCCCGAACTTCCTCCTCTCTTGCACCACGCTGTGCAGGAAGGCCAGGCTGAATGTCGTGAGACGCCACCTCTCGTGGTCCACTTTGTCGAGCGTCTCCTGCAGGATCATCGTGCTGTAGGTGCGGTGCAGCCCTGCCTTGAGGCCCAGCGGTGGTTCGTTGGTGACCTTGATCGCCATCTGGAGCAAACCAATGGGGAAGCGAGGGGACGGCTCGCAAGTCACCCACAGCCGGAAGTCCTGAACGACAGGCAGAACCAGCCATTTCCTATGTAGATAGGCGCCTCATGATCGATCAAGTGGTTATCGTGTTTGCTCTGACCTCGTCGACATCGGCCACCTTGCCGAGGAAGCTCTCGATCTCGGCCATGAAGCCCAGCCCCAAGTGGCAGTTTTGCAGTACCACCCATGCGCCGTTGATGAAGCCATTCTTCATCTTTTCCCGTGCGATGATCTCCTGCCCCTCGCCCATGGAGACTTTGTCTGTGGGGAATTTCTTCTTCTTCTTGGCGAACTCGTCGATGGTGTTGGTGGGGTCGGCGCCGGGCGAGAGCAGGTACAGGATGGGTACGCGGTTGGTCGACTCTTGCCAGATGGACTCGATGCTGTCGGTCACAGGCGCTGTGTACTTAGGGTCCATCTGAGCGTCGATGAACATGCTGGCAGCCACCACTGTGCGGTCCTCGCGGAAGGCGCGGACGAGACACAGTCTGGCGAAGTGGCCGACGTTCTTCTCCATGGCGAGTCTCTCCTCGTAGTCTGGCACGGGGCAGCTCTCGGGCTCGTTCTCCTCGAACCACTTCTTCCACGCCTGTTCGTTGCGGCCGATGAAGTCGGGGAGCTCTCTGAAGAAGAGCAGCTGCTCCTGGCCGAAGGCGTGACGGGACAGCTGGAGGATGTTGAGCCACACCTTGGCGTCCTGGCCAAGCCATTTGAACGGGCACGGACGCTCGGCCTTCTCGTCAAGGGCGCCTCCGCCCTTGAGAAGGATGTCGACGTCGGCAGATGTGAGTGTGGATGCGACCAGCATGATCTTGAGGGCCACCATGAGGACAAACGTCCTCTTGTGGCGCTCAAACAGACCGCGGTTCACATAACGATATACCTGCATGCACAGGGGACAAATGTGATGAGGCTCGCCACCGGGTGTCATGTGTGTGGCCATGTATGTATCCACCTGGTAGGTGAGGTACTCAACAATCTTCTCCACGCGCTTGTTGGTGGGCTGCACCTTCTCAGAGCGATTGATGGAGATGTCAAACTGTTGCAGGAACTGATAACCAAGATGAAGAGACAAGTGCACATATGAGCCTTCGAGCATTGTGGCGATGTCTGTTTGCTGACTTGGTTGAGTGATGAATTGTACATCCACTGCACCAGTGCCACCTCCACCATGCAGAAGTAGAGCAGGGAGCCGCGAGTGGCGACAGGGCGGTACTGTTCTCGCTTCTCGTTGATCTCTATCTTCTTCTCCTCGGCGTCTTTCAGCTTCTGCTCTACCTCCTTGGCCTTAGCCTGATGACATGAAAGAGACATCAACACCATTCACCATCTGAGACGAGGAAGTGGATTCCGGGAGGCAGCTTGCCTTGGTGTTGGCGAGCACTTCGATGAGCTCCACATCATCGAGAAGGTTCCCCTCAGAGTTCGACAGACGATCCAAAAGCTGGGCGTCCAGGATCTGCACACGGCGGAGACCAATTCTTTCGGTGCCCTTCCTGTGCGCACGTATGCATCTGTTGTGTGTTGTATCCAGGCACAGACCTGGAGGGACTTGGTGTTCTGTGTGACCTCCTCGATGAGCTGGTTGAGCGATTCCTCCAGCGACCGCTGCTCTGTCGACAGCACGCGACCCAGCAGCTGCTGCTCAAGACCTGATGGCAACAAAAGGACACGCCCGCGATTGAGGGGGGCCTTCGGTCAGTGTGCCCCTGTTCGTACCCTTGAGGGTGACAGTGAAGTCGATGACGGCGCACTTGGCGGAGAGCTCGGGTGAGAAGTGAGGGTTGGCGAGCCGCGAGGTCATGTAGAGCATGAACTTGGAGTTGTAGTCCATCTGCTGGTCGGAGACAGTGACGTAGAGGTTCTTGCCCTTCTTGATGATCTGCTTCTCCAGCACGGGATCGAGCATGGGGTCCACGTCGTTCTCAATGCCCTCGATCAACATCGGCTTACCCTCACCCATCACAAACTCCAGCTGGTCCTTCAGCCGCGGGTTTGTGATGGTGGTGATGCACTGAGACATGCCCTCCATGCGTGCCTCCTCCCGCTTCTTGATCCAGTGGACGGCCTGACCCTGCGGGTCGACCATGAGTGGGAAACGGGCCGAGGTGGTGACCATGATACCGTTCTGGATGGACAGCTCATCCGATGGCAGACCCTCCAGATTCCACTCACCAATCGTCGCCTGCAACGCTCACCTCACCCAGTGAGAGCTGGAGGTGCACATGGGATTTGTGCATTGCCGACCTGATCCACGAGCCACTCCGTCATGACAATCTTCTCCGAGGCAGGCAGCTGCACTGTGTGGCACGTGGCCAGGAAATACCTGCCAAACACACACACACAGACACACACACACACACAGACCATGTTGTGAGGCTACGTGTTGCCGAGCTGTTTGTGTACTCGGAGTAGAGTTTGTCTCTGTATTCTGAGTTGAAGGGGCCAACATAGGAGATAAAGGCGGCAGCCATGCACACGTCGCCCACCAGCCGCTTGCGGCGCTCAGCAAAGTTCTTGGAATCCTCAGTCCTGACATACAGGAAGCGAGGGCAGTGCAGCACAGACACGTGATGAGTGGCTGACCCTACCATCTTGCCTTCTCGCCGGCGAGCCCGTTGATGAGTTTGTTGGCCTGGTCCATCTTCCTTTTGGTGGCGAGAGCCTTCTGTTCCAGGGCGTTCTTGGATGCCATAGCTTCCTCGAATTGCTTGTTGAGGTCCTCGACCACGGCCTGCGCCTTGGCCAGCTCGCTCTGCGCCTCATTCAGTTCCCGCATCGCCACTTCAAGGCGTCCCGTCTGGACCTTGAGGAAGTCCATCTTGGGCTTGACGATCTTGGCGGCCTCGTGGTACATCTTCATCGCACCCACCCACTTGCACAGACCCTCCGCTGCGTTGGATGCCTTCTTCGCGATGGCCGGGTTGAAGTTCTCGAGCGACAGATAGGGCTCCAGCAGCTCGCATGTCTCATCGTTGATGTTGTCCTTCTCGTTCTACAACATGTGAGTGAGACAAAAGGGTACGAATGTGTTGGTGAGTGTGTTGGCGGCCATCTTACTTGAGAAAAGTCGAAGAGGTTAGGCAGGAATTTGATGTCGCTCATCATGCTCTTGGAGTACTCGTCGAAGGAGTCGTGGATGAAGTCAACTTGCTGCTTGTTGATCACCTTGGACTCGGCCTTCACGTCCATCACCTGAAAGGGTGTGTGGGATGCAGCACACATGGGAAAGACGTCTCTCTGTCGAGCAGCTCTTTGGCCTGACCTTGTTTTGGAGCAGGATGAGCACACCATCGAAGACGAGTCTGATGATGTCTGACGGCGTCTTCATGGTCTTGAGCTCAGTAATGTCCTTGGCTGTGATGGACTTGACAGCCCCCTCGGCCTCATGGAGGTAGGGCAGGGCGGCCTGGAGGTCCCTGTTGGCGGCATCTTGCTCCTTCTCAATCTGGTTCTTCATGCCCATACAAGACTCCACCTGGACTCCCACCTCGGCGCTCTTCTTCTCGGCTTTGGCCGTCTCGCTCTGCACCTTGACCAGCAGCTTGTTGGTCTGCTCCTCCGACTCCTTGAGCTTCTTCTCCTCCTCGCGCAGCGCCACCTTCATCTTCTCAACATCCGCTGCCGCCTCGTTGAGCTTCTGCAGCCCCACGTTGACCGCCCGCTCCAGCTTGTTGATCTCATCAAACTTCTCCTCATACACCTTCTTGTAGAAGTTGATGAAACCCAGGTAGGTCTTGGGCGTCACGTACACGTGGCGACGCATACGCGCGAAGTAGAGGTCGCACACCGTGCCCACTTGTGCGTGCACCGTGCCCATCAGCCGGTAGAGCTTCTCCTTGTTCTCGGGGCTCGTGTCAACCTTGTACTCGGACAGAAAGGCCGACGCCACGGCGATGAGGGCCTCCTCCGGCCAGGGCAGGAACCAGTCGATGGTCACGCAGCTGAAGAGGGCGGGGAACTTCTGCGCACGAACGGCAAACTTGGAGCCCACAGGCGAGAAGCACAAGACCACATGGAGATTGTCTCTGGATACATCGAAGGGGAGGAAGGGAGGGACAAGAGAAATGTGTAGTTGCACTTGGACATGCCCTGGATGTGATGTCACCTGAGTCTATCAAGGAAGTATTGGTACATGTTGATCATGTTCTCCTCCAGCCATGGTCGCTCCTTGACGAAGTCGTTGCGGACCTCAGCGCACATGCCGTCCCGCTCGTCCTTTTGGAAGAGCCCCGCCAGCTCGCCGGTGGAGAGGACCGAGTTGAGGTACTCGAGGAAGCTCTCCTGCTTGACCTCCTGGTCCGTGAAGATGAAGGTGGTGGGAATGTTCTTCTGACCCGCATCCACGTACAGACCCCTGCAGCAAGGGAGCCAGCCAGCGTCACAGGACACACAAACATGGGTGTCTGCTGGTGCGTGTACCTGAGATTGTCGAAGAAGGCTTGCTCGCCGTATGTCTTGGTGATGGTGATCTGGAATCGCTTGTGGCGGGCGATGTAGCCGGCAAGGCGAGTGAGGGATTGCTTGCCAGAGCCGCCGACACCCACAAGCATGGCCGAGCCGCGGGGCAGCTGGATGATCCGTGAGATCCTCATCATGTGCTTGAGGGCGTCGTCGAAGAGCACAAGGTTCATGCTCTTGGCGGGGTTCTCCTCGTTGTACTTGTTCAGATACTCGTACGCCTTCTTGCGGGCGGACTGGAGGGTGGCGGGCTCGTAGATCTGCTCAGGCAAAGGCCAAGGAGTACACACACACGGCCAGTGCTGTCCTCCCACTTTCTCCTCTCTGGCACTGTACTCACCCTCGGAGCGGCGATCTCTTCACCATTTTCATCCTCAGTGGCGTCTCTCAGGAAGTCACAGAACCTGCAATGTGGACGTGACCACAAAATGCACAAGTCCTTTGCTCCCGTGTTGCGTGTATGCGTACCATGGTGTCTCCTTGTTTGCAGCTGCCAGCTTCTCGCCAAAGTGTGTGACGCACACGTCGTGGAGCGTCTTTTCCATCCAGTCCTTGTCGATGGCACGAGCCAGCTTATCAGCAAACACTCGTACATTCTCGTGCTTCCACAGACCAACCTGAAGGCGGCAGCCGACACACACATCGAGTCAGCGAGGGGACTTGGCAGAGCTAGGTGTGTCATACCATGGTTTCCTCGGAGGTGAGGACCTCCATGGGGCAAAGGAGGATGCCAGTGAAGACGCGAGACAGCTCACGCATGTTGAAGACGTAGTGGAACCGACTCGGGGTCGGCAGCAACGTGTTCTTCACCTTCTCCCTGAATAATGCAGGGTGGTCACTCATGTATTGACAGCAACCCATTGCGCCGTCTTTGTGTGATGTCTCACCAGATCTCGATCGTCGCCTTGGTCAGCTTCTTGGACAGATCCATGATCTGACAGGGGGAAGGTTGCTTGCTGGGTAGGGATGCGCACGCTCTGCGCATCAGTGTGCTTGTACCTTTTGGTTGGGGCAGCTCTTGGGGTTGAAGCGTGCCTTGATCATGCTGCCGTAGATGTTGTCCACAGACATGATCGAGGGCAGGATGAGGTTGAAGGAGAAGAACTTGGTCTTGAAGCGATTCGGGATGTCGTTGCGGCCGCCTCCCGGATGGTTCATCGCGCCGATGTACTGCAGGTCAATGACCGACTTGAAGTCCCCTCTGCAAAGAAAGACCGTAACAGCACCTGCTCCCTAGTTCAGCTTGAGTCGGTCGGTCGACTCCCTCACCTCTTGTCCTTGTCGAGGAAGTAGACACCTGCCTGCTCGACGAGCTGCCGTCCCAACTCCAGTGTGATCTGGTCGCCCCACTCGTTGACGAAGGGCATCGACATGTCGTCGAGGAAGACCGTCATCTTCTTGCCGCCCGGCGGGCAGAATGTCTTGCCGGTCTTCCTCTCCACCTCAGCCTCGATGGTCTTCTGCAGCATGTTGGGGGAGGTGGCCGAGGAGAAGTTGATCTGCTTGGACAGCATCTCCTCCAGCTTGAACTTGGACATGAACATCAGCGCCGTCGACGTCTTGGCCGTGCCCGAGCCACCCACCATCAGCACCGACTTAAAGTTGGCGTTGATCAGCCGGATGCGTGGCATGCTCGAGATGGTCCCGATCAGGTACTCTGCTCTCACAGAGTCCATGGTGGGGATCAAGATCGATGACGGCGACAGGCGACCCTTAGGCGGCTTCCACTCCTCGGCTTGCCACAACTGACAGCAGAAGGGAGACATGTGATCGTTCATCCACAGGCATGGGTAGGCGTTACCTGGAATTCATGACTGGCGTCGTGCACGCCGTACTCGAACAGAGTGAGACCATCCTGGCACGGATACGGCACCTTCGACTTATCACGGAGGAAACCATCCAGCTTCATCCTGCGTGGGAGACACAGAGCGACTGCACTCCCGGCCCACCTGGTTGTGCTGCAACTCACCTGTCGTCAGGCTCGAAGAGCCCTCCGCAGCCCCACACGATGGCGTACGTCATGATGTTTTCGTATGCGGGGCGCTGCAGCACCTCGTTGGCCTCAACGTGCGGCTGCAGGATGCCCGTGAGAAGGTTCATGACCTGCAGTGTCATGGCTGCATTGGATGTGGGCATCACGGGACGGCAGTTGCGCATGATGAAATCGAAGATGTCAGGCTCGATCATATACCTGTACACACACCACCAGAAGGCTGCAAGTTCTAAAGTCAATGCAAGTCTTGTCTCACTTGTCGAAGAGCTCCTTGAGTATTTCCTTCTCCACTTGTCGAGATGAGGATATCTCCGTACGTGAGTTGAGCCAGCCCTCAATCAGCGGCTTCCATCCCAGGTCCGAGGCTGACACATAGATGATGCCCGCTCGACTCACCGTGGCGGGGGACGCATTGTTCAGATTCTCCACCTCAAACACGATACTGCAAACAGATGAGATAGACACGAAATGCAATGACGGTGCGAGTCAATTAACTTACCGTGTGTTGTCGGTCATGGGTATGCGATCGTTGTTTGCGAGCGTCAGAATCTTGTTATCGTCCAACACGGTGTTGAGATTCTCAATCCAAATGGCATCCACGGGGCCGTCGCAGACGATCCAGGTGGTGAATTTGAGTGATCGGTTGTTGTACTTTGCCCAGATGGATGCGAAGACGCCGGGGGTCCACTCCTCCGAGATCGGGTCCTTGACGCCGTACATCTGCTGCGCTGTGATTGCTTTGGGGTTCATGACGACGCACCGCGTTGACTGCCCGATGTCCGTCAGCCCGTTGGTCAGCGTGCTCATGATCTCTGTCTTCCCAGAGAGCGACGGGCCCACCAACATGAAGCCGTGACGCACCAGAGACGTCTGCGTGACAGGGGAGACAGAAGGGAGGCACACAGGAGCGACAGTTGTTGGTTTGACAAGCGGATGTCTGGCTGGCTGGCTGGCTGGCTAGCCAACGGACCTCATATAGCTGAATGATCTTGAGGAACCAGTCGTCATGATTGACGATCCGATTCTTCTTGATCTGCGCCTTGACGGTGTCCTCCACGTCCTTATACACCTTCTTGGGCGGGTCGGTCACCTTGGGGAAGATGTCCTTCAGCAGAGACAGGAACAGCGGCACGTCATCCGCCACCAGCTTACTCAGGTTCATGTCACGGACAGTTCTGATATCAGTATAAGCCAGGAGGTGTATCGTTGCCGCTTTCATTCTTCTCTTTCCTCCTCACCGCATGAAGAGCATCTCTTCGTCAGCATCTGGCGGCTCGCTTCGCTTGACAGTTCCGGCCGTCCGCAGCACCGACAGGATATTGCGGAGGCCGAAGTCGTAGTGTCGCTGCTTGGACAGCTGCTCCTCACACAGGCGGTACAGGATGTTGAACTTCTTGGCGAGATAGTCCATCTCAGCGTAGCCGACGGAGGCCAGCTTGACCTTCATGATGATCTGTCGGTCGGGAACCATCATAGACACGCTGCGGAACAGAACCTTGAGGTTCTCTGGCAGCTCCTGTCGGCCGGCGTAGCCGGGGTTCATCGTGATGAAGTACGCCACGGCAGTGTTCAGCCGGATCGGCGCCACCTCGCCTGAATACACCGATCACAAGCGATGGATCGACGGGCTCCCCATCCACTGACAGCGCTTCTCCCTGTCCTTGCCTGGGAACATGAATGTCTTGGTTCCTGCCTTCTTGGCCGCCGTGATGGACTCAACCTGTCGGGAAATACAGCAGGGAGTCGCACATGCAGCCTGCCTTTCGTGGCTGTGCTCTTTACCGACCTGCATGGCGACGACAGACAAGACCTCGAGATCGATGCGGTTGAACTCATCGAAGCAGCCCCACAGCCCACTCTGACACAACCCCTTGAAGATCTTGGCCATGTCCCTGAACCGATGCTGGTCCGAGCAGTTGGTTACCACCACGAACACACCCAGCGTGCGGCCCATATCCTTGACCGTCTCCGTCTTGCCCGTCCCCGCGGGCCCGGCAGGCGCGCCGCCGTAGTACATGCCCAGGGCCTGCGAGTTGGTGAGGTAGCAGCGATCCGTCAGCGGGGTGATGGCCAGCCGGTCCTTGACGCCGAGGTACTCATACTGGTAGGTGAACTCGACGTCAGCAATCTGGATGAGGGCGTGCTCTGTGTCTGTCTTCCAGTAGCAGCGCGTCTGCTTGAGCCACTCGAAATCGTTGTGGTCCTGGAGAGACGTAGCATGAGACAGTGGCGGTCAGTCTTCAACAACGCAGCAGGGGGAGGTGTTCATGCGTGTGTGTGTCACCTTGACGCGATGCTCCTTGACCTTCCTCCAGATCTCTGTGTAGAGGTCCCTCTGGTGCACATGGATGGTGACGAGTGTCTCGAACTTGACGCGGTTCATCTTGGACCCGAGGTCGGTGAGGCAGATGCCCACAAGGTCAGTCATCATCTGGGTGAACTTCTTGTTGGTGGTCCCCATGATGACCTTGTCCTTCTCGCGAGACATCTTCTCGAGGGCCTCCTGGAAGTCGACTGTCCAGATCACTTGAATGCCGAGCAGGGCCACCTGCAAGAATGACATAAAAGAAGGAAAGTTGCCGCCTCCTTATGTCTTCAATACTCTTGACGTGCCTGGGCGATGTATCGGTTTGAGAAGTCAAGGAGGGTCATGCCGTTGTAGACCAAACCAGTGTCATGGCATGCATACTTGCACTCACGGCGCACCGACCTGGAGCCACGCAGAACCACATACTTCGTAAGGTCGAGGCCGTCCGCATGCCATGACCCACATGCCTCCTACCTCTGCATCTCTGCCTCGAGCGCTGTCAGCCAGTCCTCGATATTGCCTTCAGCCTTGACAGGCGTCGAGAGGTCAACAACCTCATCTGCCTTCCCGCCAACAGACTTGATCTTAACAATCTTCTTGCGGTCGGCCTTGTCAAAGGTGACACGCGAGATGGCGTCGAACAGTTTCTCGAAGTCATCCTGCACCGAGTCCGGGTCCGACCCCTGAGAGAGGATCTTGAGCAGCACGGGATCCGACACGAAGTAGAACCGCGGGAACTTGTTCCGCTTGCCCTCCAAATACGAGTCGAGTGACTTTTGGCAGCTCTCCAAGCCTTGCTGGAGGACGGGCAGCAGCTGTTTGAGCAGATCGTTCTGGCAGCACTCGACCACATTGCGTGTCTCGGCTGCCTTGGCCATGATTTTCAGCTGCAAAGACACAAGCAGGACAGAGTGCCGTCAGCCAAGTGTGATGCACTTTCTGTGAGTCGCATGTTTTCACCCAGTCCTTGTCGATCTGCTGAAACTTTTTGGCTTCCGTGGGCATCTGCTTGGCAATATCGCCACCGGTGAAAACCGACTCAAGTGACGTCCAGAGCATCTGCACCTTCACCCAACGCTCGATAGTGTCTGCAAATCAACATTGTCACATCATCGGTGACCCAGTCTCCTGCTCTGCTGACCAGAGACATCAGACAGGGTGGTGAGGAGGCCGACGACCTCCTCCTTGAATGGGGCCACGTGTCTCATGGCATTCATGGTGTTGAGCGTCATCTGTGACTCCTCGAGGGCCTCCTGAATCTCACCCACTCGACCACCAGCGAGCACACAGGGAACATCTCTGTCACCGAGATAAACGCCCACGAGAATGACACACTGCGCCATGGATCCCCTTTTGTGCATACCGCGATTTCCATGTGTTGAAGTCAAAGGCCTGCTCCTTCCACATCCTCTCGAGCTCTCGCAGCTTCTCCTCGATGGCCAGCTGCTTGTCGGCGCCGTCGGTGATGTCCTGAACCTCATCCTGCAGAAGACGCAAAACAAGGGACAAGGCATATTGCCGCACTCGAGTGCATGAATGCACACTCTGTATTGCAGCAGGTTGGCGTCGATGAGTGACTGCAGTTTGAACATCTCCGACTCCACCTTGAGCTCCTTGCCCGTCAGCTCCTCAACCTGCTTCCAGTGCCGCGGCATAATAGACTTCTTGCTCAGGTCTTGCAGCAGAGGAAGGACTTCTGTGAAGTCATCGATTTCCTTCTTGAGCTCATTGTAGGCCTCCCACTCCTTGAGCTGTTTGGGCAGCTTCTTGCACTGGTTGCCGAAGACCCCGATCTTGTCGCCCATCTCCTGTATCTGGTCGGGCACCTCCGTCCAGAGGATCTCCTTCCACTCCTTTATGGTGTCGATGACCTGCACGTACAAGTCGTACAGCTGGGTCAGGTACGTCAGCTCCTTCTTGGTCTTCTCCAGCTCGGGATAGGCTTGGTGGGGCAGCCCGAACACCTCCTCGCCGGCGAAGTAGATCTCCTGCTTCCTCGCTCGCACCTCATACTCCTCCTTGAACCGCTTGAGGCGCTCCACGGCCTCTCTGGGCTTGATGCCCACGACCATCGGGCCATTCTTCTCGTAGTCCTCGCGCAGCTGCTTGACGTCTTTCTTGAATGTGTTGACGCTTGTGATGAGCTCCTTCTTGTAGTCCGCCTGCGCCTCATTCAAGATGTCCTGTCGCTTCTCGGCCTGGAACCAAACACAACACACTCAACAGGGAAGGCTTATCTGTCAGTGTTGGCATGCCTCTTCGATGAGCTTCTGCCACGACGATCGGAGCATGGATCTGTGGTCCTGCTCGTCCTTGTCCATGATGTTGACGTTCGGCGGCAGATAGGTGTCCAGAATGTTGTACATGTCCATGATCGGGCCAAACTGAAGCTCAATCTCTGCGATACGGCATCAAACTTTCACGCAGTCGATCGGCTGAGTGTTTGGTCGCTTACCGGATTCCTTCTTTCTGATGGCCTTGAGTGTGTCCATGACGTGTCTCAGCGCATCGATGTCGACGGCCTCACGAGCAAGCCGCTTCTGTGTCTTCTTGATGTGCTCCGTGAGAGTCTCGAGCTTCTCTCTGGCCTGGTGATGCAGCTCCTTCGAGTAGGCAATCTTCCAGTTGGCCGCAAGGTCCTTGAACTGATGATCACCACACCGGTATACACATGAAGAAGAAAGCGGCTTCGAATAGACGTGTCTCACCGATTTGATGAGGCTTGACGTGTCGAGAAGAAGGGCCCCGATGGTGTGTTTCTGGTCCATCTCACTCAGCTTCTCCTCAACAAAGACAAACTTCTTGAGTTGCCTCTCAAAGTCGTCCAGGGAAGGATCCGTCTTCTCAAAGGTCTTGTACGTCTCGTCGATCGAGTCCCGCCACAGCCACGCATACTCCTCGAATCTCTCCAGGTACCGTGCGACCTCGTTGCGGGTGCTCTGGATGGAGCCCGTGAGGAGCAGCAGGACCTTGAGGATCTCCCTGTCTTGTGCGATGCGGTCGTAGAAGGTGCCCTGGCTCTTGCGTGCAGGGGCGAGTGCCTGCTTCTCGTTGGGCCGCAGGATCTGCTGCACGACCTTGGGAATCGTCTGCGTGTCCCATGCCTTCACATTCTGGTTTAGGGATGGATGGGACACGCAACGTAAAATGCCTGTTCACGTGCTGGGGGGATCGCGTGACTTGTGTACCTTGGAGCACTTCAGCACGGCGAGTGCCGCCTTGTTGATGGTGTTTTGAATCTCATCGATCAATGGGTACAGCTTGACGGATGTGCCATCGAGCTGCAACTCGACCTCGAAGAAGGGAGGCGGCACGTGAAGGGCACCCATCAAGATCGCGGCTGCATTGTTGACTGATGGAAACCGTAGATACGAATGTGAACCACACGAGGACACGGACATTTATCTCACGTGTAGGCTGCGGCCGCACATGCAGACGCCCCTTCAGAGCGAATAGAGACTGCTTCGTGGCGTTCAGAAGAGACTGCAAGACACATACATACATATCTGAAGCTCTTTGTTTGCATCCACCTATGTCTACCTGGTACATGCTCCAATTGTAGTGGCCCTTGAGCTTCACAATATTGGGCTCAAAGACACCCTGCCAACACATACAGCACATGCGACATCAGTTCATAGCTGCTCTGCTTCCTGCTTTGCATACCTTGATATGGGAGTCGAGGGGGTAGCTGACGATGACGGTCAGTAGGTCATCGACAGCTGTTTCGATTTCCAGGGACTTGGATGTCAGGAACGACGTGATCTCTGCAAGGGGCACAGGCAACAGAGGCATATATGGGTGCCGACTGCCCGGCCTTGCTTACCCTTGACGTACTTCTCCTGCAGGTCGACAAAGTAGTCGAGGGAGATGGCCCCGCCGTCGTCAGGCAGGTCGACGAGTCGCACCTTGGACACCGCCTTGAGGTTGTTGTCGATTCGGTTGTCCATGATGTCGTTGACCGTCAGGACAAGTTGCTCCAGCTGGCTGAGTGCCGCATAGACCGACTGCAGGTAGACGTCGATGTTCATCGATGTCCACGTCAGTGTGACCATGCCCGGCCGCAGAGCCAGCTCGAGATTGTCGAGGTGCGGCTGCAGCAGATGGCTGGCGATGGGGCGGATGAGAGAGGTGACGCGGCGGTACTCCTTCAAGGCGTATGTCAGCTCGGCGTAGTAGCTCTTGAACTTGGGCTCCTGCAGCAAGACGATCTTGGCTGTCTCAGGGATCTCAGTGGCCATCCTATCAAGGCACTTGGTCTCGCGGATGAGCTGGAGGATCTCCCAGTCGAAGTTGACGTACAGTTTGTTGTCGTCAGGGTGACGCACAATCAGTGTCGCCTGCAGACCAGCCTTGCATGCCTGACAGAGAGAAACAGAGACATGCAGACGCGAGGGAGCGTCTGCTTGGGACACACCTCGATGGAGTCGACCCATGCTTGATACCACCTGATCTCAAACTCAACCAACGTCTTGGCCATCTGATGCACACACAGAACAGTCAATCGTCGCATGCTGGCGTGGCTGGCCTCTTGCTTCTTACCTTGTTATACATTCTGATGATCTTCTTTGCATCCTTTGTGGTGAGGACATGCGGATGCTGCTGAAACATCTTCATGGGCTCCTGCAGATCAAGCCAATGCAGCATGTCATCAAGCGTTTCTCTCAACCACCCCCGCTTGGCGCAGGCGTCTTGTTTACCTCGATGCGCTTGAGCAGATGCCTGGCCCACGTGATGTTGCCCGCGATGGGCGGCAGGTTCCTCACGAGTGGCGGGTTGGCCTTGAAACGCTCGTACTGGTCCTGGACCTGCGTCAGCTCCAGGCCGTAGTTGTGGAAGATGACAGTGAACTTGCTCTCCAGGTCAGCCCGGAGACTGTCGCGCTGCAAGATCGACTGGAACTTCTTGAGCAGATTCAGCGAGGACTCGATTGAGGTTATCGACTCAAACGACTGCAAACAAGACAGAGACCAGATACGCACACAAACCCGTATTCTGCGACTGTTTTGCTGACCTGGTTGATGAACTGCTGGAGTGCCGCCTCCAGGTCTGAGATGCGGACGTTGAATTCGACATAGTCTCTGTCGAATCTGTTGTTGTGAAAGTCGAGCAGGTCGTGTCTCTTGGCCCTGAACTCCTCCATGATGGTCCGGAAGTTATCTATCAGGTGCTCCATGCCCTCAAACCGATGCTGAGACAGATTCTGAAACTGCTGGATCGTTGAAAACTGAAGGCATAGACAAAGACAAGAAAAAGCGATAACAGGTGTTGCACGCCGACCCCTTTGCCATCATAGGAACCATGTCGATCAGCTTGACGACTCTCCTGCAGAAGAGATCAAAGCGAGCGAAGATCTGTGTCTCGGAGAAATCGAACTGCTTGCCCTTGGGCAGGGTCAGCAGCTTGTCCTTTGTCACCCTGATGGTAAGAAACGCAGGCAGCCCAGAGACATGTACACACCCACACCAATACCTCACCTGTATTGTTCCTGGTATGCCTCGTTGAGCCTGAGGCATGACTCGAGTGTCTGAAGCAGCTTCTGTGGGTCCTTCTCCCACAGCTTGTCGTGGTGCTCGCCCTCGAGAATGCAGTGCTTGCAGTTGGTGATCATCTGGTTGGTGATCTTCATGAACAAGTTGGTCATCCGCTCCGTCGTGTTGTAGTAGCGGGCGATCGTGTGGATCATTTTGACAGAGTTCATCAACGCCGTCAAAGTGTCTACGATAGTCGTCGGAGTGCCAACGTAGAGAGGCTCGATGAACTTCTCGAGCGTCGTTAGATACTTCACATTGTCTTTGGCCTCGTTGAAGGCCTCCGTGATGGACACATCGATCTGTTTCCATCTTCTCAGCGTGTTGAACACCGTCTGGCGCGCCTTGGGCGACGCCTCATGGGTCACCTGAATACATACAGAGGTGAGCTCTCTCTCTCTGGTATGTCTGCCGGGGCTCTCTCACCTTAGTGACAGCATGCAGCACGGCAAATACAGCCTTGCAGTCGCGGCTCCTCAGCTGCTCAATAATGGAGGTCAGCCGCTGCATTCTGTGACGCCAATACTCAAGCTATAATGTTCACACGAGGGAAAGAGGATTATAAATGCGAGTATCTGACAAGATCTGCATGTTTCTTTGCTCTCACCTCGGTCCTGGGGCCTGCGTCAGGTGGCTCTCTCCTGTTGTCCAGCGACTCTTCGAGATACTTCTCGATCTGTCTGCACCAATCCTCGAGCAAACTCTCAAAGTGGGACACCAAATGGGAGTCCTGAGCAAAACTAGCTGGGTTGGCCGTGATGGACGCCAAATCATACCTACATCCATGGCAGCGTCGCACATCCATGCATGCAGCTTGCTCGCCTCTTTTTGCATCAAGCCGTCTCTTAAGCGTACTGTGCGTCGAGTTTTCTCAGTTCTATTCCTCCAGAGAGCGACTTCAAGGCCTCAGATAAATCGCCACAGAACTTATCGAATCCGACAAGGAACTCGGATCTCTGTTCCTCAGGGCAGGATCCCCACTCGGCGACGGCCCGTTGCATGGCTGCCTTCTTGGTGTCCTCAGGAGAACCCCCCTCCGGCACCTGCGCGGCATCCGCTGCGCCCTGGGGGGACAGATTGTTGGTGATGAGCGAATTGAAGATGCTGGTGAGAGACACATCCAGGCTGTCCAGGGGATTGGCAGCCACCTCACAAAAGAGAATCTGACAAGACAACAGCAGCCTTTGCTGGATGCGTACGTGCATTTATCAGGCAGCGTATGTCATACATCGTTGTCAGATGCCGTGTTGAGGTTGACGCTCTTTCCCTCTGCCACATTGCGGAGGAAGAAAATGCTGCGACTCTTCAAACGAACGTCATTCCCCTCTGCACAAACAACCAGACAAGACACAAACAAAGGGATATGTGGAAGATCTACCCATACACTGCGAAACAATGCCTGCGGTGTCAGTGGTGTGGGGCGCCTGTGCGTTTGTGTGCACCTGATACGATGATTTTTCTGTCGCCCTTTTCGATGAACTCGCCGGCGGCATCGAGTGTCTCATTCTTTTGGAAGAAGAAGTAGAGATGCTGCTCCTCTGAGGAGCCGTCCAGGAATCGGTTGATCTTCTTGATGTTGCTGGTCTCCTTGAAGACATCCTCTATCGTGCCCTCATCCTTCTCGAGCTCGAAGGATGCCGCAATCTGGGATATCATCCAGCGGTGACGAGGCTGCAACGCCATTTCTGCGAACACACTGCCGAAAGGAAAGACTGCGCGCTTGAAGCCAGGCCCCCCACAAACCCCCCAGGGCTCAAGAAAAGTTTGTGCTTCTCGCGGCGCTCACTGCAGACGTTCTGAAGCCTTCATGCAAACCTGTTCGCTGCCAGACAGACCGGTAAAGGAGAGGAGGGGGGGATCGCCGTCTCCCATGATCTTAGCTCGCACCTCCCTGAAACCGCTCCTGCTTTGCGAGAATGGACGGCTTCTTCAGCAGTCCATTCATGGCGCCATTCTCGCGCCTCAGCTCCATGGATCATTTCTTCGCTCACGCTTCAGCAGCGATGGACAACTTCTCCGGCGACCATCTCATGCGGCCTTCGCACTCGACACGGTAACTCTGATGAAGCACCAAAAGGCTGGATGAGTCAAGAGAGTCAATGGATGTGCAGACTTCAAGTTGCGGCCCCGCCAGAGCGTCGGAGGAGCACGGCGATGCAGCCTGTGGATCTGACCTATCGCTTTCCTTCTTCAACTGCGGACAAGCCTGCGCCTCGAGTAGGCAGAAGACAGCCCTGGTGCTTTTTCATTTCATCCCTTGCATGATTTGATTGCTGCATGTGTGCTGATTGGTGCAGGAGCCCGAGAGAAAGAGGAGGGCTTCAGTTCCATTCCAACCCATCGGCGCGGGAGCAAAAAAGAATGGTCACGGGAAGGTGCATCAGCTGGCGCGGGAGGGCATCCGGCCACACAGGACTACAAATGCCGATGGGTAGGCAAGGTGGAAACAGAGAAGGTGCAGACAAACAAATGAGTGTGTCTATTAGGCCTGGTGGTAGGGGTATCGCCGGTCCATCGCGGAGCGGCAGCGGCCTCGGAGGCTCGCGGCTTCTTGCCGTGCCAAGCGATGGTCCTCCCTCCTCCCAAGACGCGGCCGGTGCATCTGAACCGCCAGAAGACGTCGGATGGGTGAGAACATGCACAAACGATATGTCTGCATCGACGCTTTCCTTGGCTGAGTGTTGTCTGTTGCAGCTTCAGCAGACGGAGCGAGGCCGACTTTATCTCTCCAAGAAAGAGTCGAATGCTGTGGTGCTGGAGGGCACTCACATCGGTGACAGCAGACCAACACACAATGACACCTTCGTCGATGCCTGTGGCTGGATACTGAATGGTTGGTTGCAGGGCATTGCATCGCCACGTATGAGGGCAAGGCGGAGGAGAGGGCCCGGCTGGCGTCGGGATCCTTCGTCATCAAGGCGGACATGAAGGTGGCGCCTCAAGGGCCCTTCGACGGACAAGTCATGCATCTGCTCTTCGACACACAGAAGGTCAGTCCGAGGCATGAACTGGAAAGGAGGCAACTGAATCTATCTGTCACTGCTGGGTGATGTCTGCATTCAGGCCTGTGACTATTCATCTGGATGTGACTTCACCTCGCTGCAATTCAACACATCGACAAGGCAAGCTCGCCCAAAAGACACATTCAGGAATCAATGCGGCGAAAACAATTTGATACCATCGTTTATTCAGGGATTTCCGTGTGGAGTCCTTTCGTCCTCGTGGGCAGTCGCGCACTCTGCAGAGCCTCCCCGGCTGCTCCGTTTTGCAGCCCAACCGCTACATCAACGTGCGGCTAGAGTGCACCCCGAGTTCCATCTGTGTGTACCTCAACGGCGTGCTGGTCATCGACAAGCTCCCCACTCCCCGGGAGCTCTGCCCCTGCATCGGCATCGGCGTCTACGGCAAGACACGCATGTACGTCAGGCGCTTCTGCGTGTCGCTGCGGGAGCCGCCAGGCGGCCAAATCAACCCTGCATCGTGCCAGCCTCCCGAAGATGAGGCCAACACACAAGGAGAGAGACCAGCACCTGCGAGCGCGTCGTCGTCAACCGCCATCGCACTGCCTGACAGGGACGCTGTGAGGACGAACGATGAGAGCGCTTCAGCGCCTCGTGTCAGCAGCGCAGCCATTCCGCCAAGGGCGCGTCCACAGCAGGCGGTGCGGCGGGATGGTGTTGGAGGTGGGGGTGTGGGGATTGGCATGGGTGTGGTGCCACCAGGGGCGCGAGAGGAGATGGAGTTTGCGGGCGCCATCGAACAGGACGTACTCCAGACATCACTCAGTGAGTCGACGGGTGGTCACATACATAATACATGCGGCGAGTGGCATTCTGTGGGGTCTTCTTGCTGTGTGTGTGTGTTCTGCAGATGTGAGTTTTGATGACATCGCTGCTCTCGATGACGCCAAGCGTTTACTGACTGAGGCAGTAGTGCTGCCTCTTATCGTTCCCGAATACTTCACAGGTACACTGAGGCTCGAAGAACCCATCGGCGCCGCATCATTCATGTGATACATGTGTGACGGCAGGGATTCGGGAGCCGTGGAAGGGCGTATTAATGTTTGGTCCGCCTGGCACGGGCAAGACGCTACTGGCGAAGGCCGTTGCATCGATGGGCCACTTGACCTTCTTCAACTGCACTGCCGCGTCTCTCGTGTCCAAGTGGCGGGGGGAATCGGAGAAACTGGTGCGAGCGCTCTTCCAGGTAAGATGACTAACAGACGAATGGACATGTGGGGCAGGTCCTACTACCCTTCTTCTGCTTTGATGTGTGCAGATGGCTCGTCGTCGAGCTCCGTCAATAATTTTCTTTGATGAGATCGATGCCCTCATGTCGCAGAGGGGCACGGCGGCCGAACACGAAGCCTCCAGAAGGCACGCGCATCGCAACGACCGGGAAACATGACATAGGTTCGAATGTGCACTCGTTCAGGTTTAAGGCTGAGGTGCTGAGTCAAATGGATGGGCTGCTGAGTCGTGCAGCCGAGGCGTCAGCTGACGGGGAAGGTGGGGACGCTTCGTCCAACCTGGTCATGGTGCTGGCGACATCCAATATGCCATGGGACCTCGACGAGGGACTGCGGAGGCGGCTGGAGAAGAGGATCTACATACCCCTGCCTGACGACGAGGCGCGGAGGCACATGTTCACACTCAACCTGCGCAACGTCGATGTGAGGACGCTGACCAATGCCCATGCTGCCTGTCCACGCATGGCTGTGGCTGTGTGCCTGTTCCCTCTTTGGTCATGCAGGTAGGGGATGACGTGTCGATTGAGGAGCTCGCCGCACAAGCCGAAGGCTTCTCAGGTCAGACAGGAAAGGCAATCTTCCCCTCCCCTCGCGGACTGGTCTCCCTGTGGTCTGTGCGTGTCAGGTTCAGACATTCATTTGTTGTGTCGCGAGGCGTGCATGGAGCCAATGCGGCGGCTCATCGCCAACAAGACGGCATTGGAGATCAAACAAATGAAGGATGAAGGAAGGCTGCCACAGGTCTGTAGTACATGCCGGTGTGGACTTCATATTCGGTGCACTGTCTGTCTGTCTGTCTGTCTGTGTTGTGTGTTTGCGTGCATGTCCGTCAGGCTCCTAAGGTGTCGGAAGATGATTTCAGAAAGGTGAGAAAGGCCAACACAGAGAACGAGAGGCGGCACGCTAGTCAACCACTGCTATGTGCCTTGTGTTGGCCGATCAGGCGCTTGAGAGCACAGCCCCATCCGTCAACTTGGATGACGTCGCCAAGCACGAAGAGTGGCAGCGCATCTACGGCGCCAAATGACTGACGGATGAGTGAGTGGGAAAGAGGGTGGGGAGAACGTTGGGGAGAGATCCGACTGATGTGACGAACGAAGTGCGTTGGTATCTTGCATGTATGTGATATACTCATGCTCACTGCACCCTGTCCCACATCATGAACCACGCTGTTTGCAATGCCTCAAGATTATCGGCCCATGACGACGCACTTATGCAGCAGACCATGAATGAAACCGCCTTTTCTCTACCGTAGGCCATCACTTGCAATTGTGAGAAGCAGGAAACGACGTCGGTTTCCCTACCTACACACTGGAAGGAAGTGCCGCAACGTCGATGTATCGTAATTTTGACCTAGTGTGAGACTTCCGTGAAACCGCCCTGAAGAAGAGCGGGTGTTCATTCATTGCCGCTGATAGATCACAGCAGGAGCGTGTGGCAGTGTGAGAGTATGAACGGGAAAGCCAAGGACAAGAAGCGCGAGGCCAAGGCCAAGAAGAAGGAGATCCAGGAGGCACAGCTGGCCCTCCACAAGCAGCAGAAGGCCAAGATTGACTCGGCGAACGCATTGGAAGATGCCCTCACCCTGGCACCAGCCTTCCGGCAGTACAACAGAGGCGGCGTGGAGGTCACAATCGAGGACCGCCGCGCCTCTGTGATGAGCCGTGGGGAGATTCAGCGGTGCTTCGACCTGACCAAGGCCAACATGGAGACCTTCTACGATGAGGCGCAGCCGGGGGGGAAAGGATGGGACGACAGGGCCAAGTGGAAAGAACTCTCGGAGGATGACGGTACGCGCAGACAAGAACGGAAAACAGGGAGGTGCGTCGACCCTCTCCTCTGTCTGCGTCTGTATCGTCTGTGTTATTGCTCAGCGCGTTTCATTCTGGCCCGCAGCGTCCCGAGCCAGGAGGCTGCCCCATCAACCGCGGATGGGTCAGACGCTGGGCCAGCGACGAACGGCACCGTGTCCAAGGATGGCGATGGCTCGGATATCGTAGCCTTCGTGCACTATCGATTCGAAATCGAATTGGAGGTAGGCAGCGGGAGAGGACAGAGGGGAGGGCCGACAGCATATTCGCTCTCTTGTGTGTAGGAGGAGGTGTGTTACATCTGGGAGTTGCAGGTGGATAACAAGACCAGGAGCAAAGGTCAGCCACAGGCAGAAACACACATGTGCACGCACCTGTTATGCTCCCGCTGTCTACCCCGTGTGTGCAGGATTGGGTCGGTTCCTCATGCAGCTGCTGGAGTTGGTCTCGCGCAAGTTGCAGATGGCCAAAATGATGTGCACATGCTTCAAAGGTACGCAGAGATGAATGAAAACATGGATGGATGGATGGATGCCAGCCGCATTGTATACGCCATCTCCCTCTCTCCCACGTCGGTCGTGCTCTGTGTCTGTATGTCAGCGAATGCGCGTGCGTTGTCGTTCTACAAGGACAAGTTGAAGTATGTGGTCGACCACACCTCGCCCGAAGAGAACCCAGACGAGTTCGACGAAGAGGTGTGGATGGGTGCACTGCAGTGCAAAGCACGACAGACACATCAGTTGTGGTATTGGTGCGTGATGTGATGTGGTTGCGCATCTCTGCCTCCTCCCTGTGTGCAGGAGATGACATACGAGATATTGTCCAAGAGCCTGCCTGCCCCTGGTGGCGCCAGGCCAGCAGCGCCGTCACAGGGCTAGAAGGGCTCCTGGGGGGACCCAGACGCAGTCTTTACACTGCATTTACATGGATGGACTCTGTGATGAGGTTGAAGGTTTTTCCGCTGGTGTGTGGGCTCCTGATCTATATCAAACCACATCTGGCAAATGAGTCCACATCGCGCAGCAGCCAGGCCAAGGCAACATACCCGGCAGCCAGGCTGACGCGCATCCTATCCTCCGATGACGACCTCCACAGGCGCTACAACATCCATATGGCGCCTGGGTCTTCCGCAAGTCGCCGCATCTCCCTCACATTCGGTGAGAGGCATGGACCATGGAGAGGCCTGAGGGAGTATGATCGGCAGCTGCAGCGCCGCCCCTCGCACCCACAATGGACAAGAACTGCCAATGGTCCTCAGCTGCAGCTGGTGCCGACGGGGTTGGTGAGCGGCGCCACCGCAAACAAACGACTGAATGTAAGCGAGGAGGACAAACAAACAGGGAATGCTGCCATCCTTGTTCCATGCGCTGCAGATGACACTCGCACGGACGTATCTCGATGACCTGGAGCACCTGCTCAGCCAAGGGCCTTCAAATACCGAAACGCAGGTCAGCCAGCCGACAGATAGAAAGACAAACAGAGAACAACATCCCCACCTGTGTTCATTGGTGTGTCAAGGCGGCCGACCCCGAGGAGCACGTGGCGGGCGCTTTTTCCACTCAGAGAGGCGTCCTGAAGCGGCTGAGGGCCCCCTCGTCTGTGGAGGACGTCCTGTCCTCCCTCGAACAGGCATATACGACACAAACCAACCCAATACCGCAAAGTAAGCGATCCTAGGTGACGGGGATCGTACCGAGGTCCTTACCATCTGTCGCTTGTACGCATGTGGCTGTGCTCACAGCGTGTGGCGACAAGGTGTGTGGTGCGAATGCCTGGTGCCAGCACACGGTGCAGGGGTCACAGTGCCTCTGCAGCGCGGGATTCATCGGAGACGGAATGCACTGCAGCCCACGTAGCGAAAAGAACACACCCACTCCCTGATGATGTCTTTCGTTTGCCGGATGATGATCCGTGGCGGCTGCAGCGTCTGCGTACATCCCCGAGCCCTTGCTGCCCTACGAGAAGAACACGAGCATCGCCGACCTTCATCTGGTCAAATGCGGTGAGGCATCTGATGACTGCACGATACGACAAGACAGTCCTCCCTCGACCCCTCCCTCCCCCTCTGTCTGTCCTGTCCTTTGGCAGGTCTTGACAAGCTGCTGCTGGTGTACCGTGACAAGACAGACAAGAACCGCGGCAAAGTCATGGTGTGCACCGCGGCTTGGCTCCCTGCTGCCATCGTATCGTTGCCTTTGCGTGTCCTGTGTGTCCTGCCATCAGTTAGGCCGTGTGCGCCCTGGCCATGTCAGTTGGGGCCCGCCTGCCAGTTTCTGCCCTGAATACGAGGCCCACCAACCGCAAATCGCTGCACTCACCAACGGGTGCGCATGTGTCACACATATGGTATCATTCCATCCCACGAAAACATGTGGGCTGCTGTGCTGGATGTATGCTGCCAGTCGATTTGTGATAGCGTTTCGCCATCGGAAGGAGAAGGCCAAGGGCTTTCTGGTCGGAGGCTACGTCGCCACACACACATCGCTGCTGCAGACAGACCACAGACGGCAAGCTAGGCGTGAAGCCGAGGGTGGGGGCACCATCGTGTCGTCACGGCTGGAATTTGGGCCTCGGATGGAGTTCGCCTCCATGCAGGTAGGTACATGCATGATGCACAGATACGCACTTAGCCTACGAAGAGAGAGAGATGGGTGGTTTCGTGGCTTGGTTCAGAGCGGTCACGTGGCGTTGGTGCCCTTGCCGCGTTCCCGTGTTGCGATGCTGTTCGAAGACAAAGTGATCGACATCGACAGACGAACAGTCACTGTGAGCGAACAGTGCCACGCATAAACATGACCAAACATGAGACACAGAAAGTGGTGTATGGTATGTGTCTGCAGCCATACGGCAAGGCTCGCCTGCTGTCAATTGGTCCCCAAGGTGTCCTGACGGAACTCGGGGAGTGGATATTTGCTTCTCAGGTCATTCAGTTCAGGCGTCACGAAATGACACCACCAACCACAAGGAATGGGGTCCTCCATCAATCACATTAGGCCGTCCGTCACCTTCGTACCCTCAAAGTGGCCGATGACGCATTCGTACTCGCATACAAGGGTGGGTGGGGTGGGTCCATGGGAGGGAGGGAAGGGGGGAGGGAGGGATAAAGACACACACACCATCCGTTGCAGTGTGTGTGTGTGTGTTGAGTGCAGAGCATGCAGCGCCATCCCGTACAGACACGAGTGAGACCATCCTTCAGGAGGCCAAAGCCAAACTATTTTACCAGGTGAGTGAGCTGTGCATTTGGTCAGCTCACACAAGAGGGCGAGGAAGCCATACAGTCGTGTTCCCATCGGTGTTGAACGCGTGCAGACGGAGGACGATCTGGTGATGAGTGGCAGCGATTTGAACATCGGTGCTGCCAGGGCCAAAGACCGAGCACTCGCACTCGTCGCCGCCAACAGGTAGGTGCAGTGAGTGCACATGGTATGTATGGCAGGGAGAGGAATGGCCAGTGCAGTGAGTGCAGTGGGTATTTGGTTTGCACTCAGGTTTGTCTATGTGTACGACGATAGCGCTTCCCATAGCATCAAGCAAGTTCTGGTGTGTGAGCTGAGCAGGGGACGGAGGGGACACGCAGCCAGACACACAAATGTACTGGTTGGTTTTGATTGACCCTTCACGTGAGTGACATCTGTCAGGTGCAAGTGGAGACCAACCACACGATGCACATCCTACAAGGCCCCCTCCACGTGTCGCAGAGTACGCTCACGCACAGCACAATAGCCAAGAGACACGTGTGTGTCGTGTCATCGACCCTTCACGTGACTGCCCATGCTGTCTGTCTTACCCACCCAGGTCCGAGTCCGTACTTGGCAGCCCTTGCACTGAGTCCCGGCACATTGTCCAGGTCGACAGGGGACAACTACAGCATCATATTGCACCAGGTGTGTATAGTATAGAGAGGCACACCTGGTCAATGACATGCACACAACAGAATAGATGGGCGCGGCGCGCATATATATCCAAGTGTTCTTTCTTCTCAGGGCAGCGGCAAGGATGATGGGACCACGGGTGTCGCGAGCATCTGCACACTCATACCCGAACAACGTACGTACGGCTACAATAAACGCAATTCGGGAACATTCGCTGCCGCTGCATGGGCTGCAGAGTATGTCGACTGCCAAGAAAACCTCTGGAGCGAAAGGCAAGGAAAAGGGACGGTGCCATCCTAACTGCCAGCTTGCTTACCGGTGCATGTGTGTGTGCATGTGTGTGTGTGTGCAGGGGCCTTTCTAGTGTGCAGGGCGTCCTGATAAGCCACAATGTCATCCTGCTGGTCTTCGCAGACAGCAAAGGTGAATGTGCCGGATGGATGCCGCCACACATTGATAGAGTGAGTGGGTGTTCTTTGGTTGTTTGTGATGTGTGGTGTCCGCATAGGGTCGCCGTACTATCAGCTGATGGGTCTCGCACCAGCTTAGACGATAAGAGCTTCCACGGAAGGAGACATGCTCGTGTGCATCATGATGTGTGTGGATGGGGCCACGGCGCCAAGTGAAGTGACGCCGCTGCAGGTGTCGATTCCTGTGTGCGTGAGTGAATGCGTGTGTATGAAGACTCGCAATTAAGTGTGCAGATCGCTAATGAGTCGAGCACACATATGAGTGACACCTAAAGTTTGCCATTCAGCTGTCACGCCAAGTCAGTGTCGGATACACACAATGCCATCAATCGTCCCTTTCGTCACTTCTCTCGGTCGATGAACGGCAGGGAATAGAGCACGAGACATGCAAATATAAAATGTAGGCGGCGATTCCATGGTCTAACCACACAATCTGTCCACTGCGTGTCGGGCGGTCATTCCTCGGCCGCTCCTCGGCCGTCTTGAACCCCTTCTCACAGGCTCACCCGAATCGCTCAATCTGACGAGAAAAACGGACAAAAACAATGAAGGTGTGTGTGTTCGACTTTCTTTCTGCCATCCCATCTGTGTGTGTGCTGCTCACCTACATGCACGCACACAGGCTGGCTGGCTGGCTGGCTGGCTCCTAGGCGCCGTGGCTATCTATCGGCAGCAGCGGGGGAGAAGTGCCATCCACCCCTCGAGCTCGTCCCGCCACTGCTTCTTCCTGACCATGGTGAGGTCCTGGCTCTCACTCCTGACCTCCCACACACGCTCCCGGCGGTCGTCCTCCCACCGCTCGTACTCCCCCCGCACCCCGTTCCAAATCCACCCCTCCATGAAGCCCAGCCGGGCGGCCTCGGGGGTGTGAGGCGCCGGGCCCATCACCAGCACGGCCATGTCGGGCTCGAAGGGGAGCAGTGGGGACGGGTGCAAGTAGGGTGCTGGTGGGGGGGTGAGCTGGGCACTCGGTAGATCTCTCTCTCGGTGGCCGCCGGAGCGGCCAAAATATGCGCAGACAAACAGAGAACACAGGAAACGAATCTTCATGAGCCTCTTCTTTCTTTCGTGTCTGTCTCACTTACGTCCGTCCGTACCTGCAGCGCCGCCGGGAATGTTAATGAATGCGACCAATGCATTCGCAGCAGCCAATCCAATCTTGAACGAGTGCAGACCCGAGACACGTACGTACACGGGAGTTGATAAGTAAGTCTGTTTGACAGCTCACCTTCGATAGATATGCACGCCGCGGGACAGACAAGGCAGTGAGTGCGGTTGAAGGGTGGTTGTCATCAGCCCATCGAATATAAAATGAAGGCAGCGATATCTGAGGCCTGGCGGTGGGGCTGGGGCGGGTAGTAGTAGTAGGACACGTTGCCAGCCAAAGAAAGGGCTGACGGGCTGCGGGTCTGTGTGTGTGGGGGGCGCCTCAGGTGACTGTGTGGGAGTGGGGGCGGCATCTGGCTCCGACTGCGGCTGCGGCTGCGGCTGTCCTCCAGCTGCGATGAAGCAGCGAGGGCCTCAAAAAAGCCCGGCGTGCTGTTCTGCAAACATCCCACAACGCACACGACATACACGAAGATGAGAATTGGTTGACGCGCAGAAAAGGGCATCCATATAGCTGCCTTGAGTACCATCTCATCGAGCCGCGTGTGATAGATGTCGTACTCCTCATCGGTGAAGGAGCGAATGCGACGCTCCAGCTCCTGTCACACACACATCAAATGCGGGACATCAAGTGCCTTCTGATGTGTATCCATCTGGCCACTTACACCAGGGAGGAAGTACAGCAGCCTCCCGATGTCCTTCATGAGCGTGTCCAGGTCACCCCTGATGTCGAGGGCGACCTCGGAAAGGTCGCGGGGAGCCTGAAGGCTCTGCGGCATGGGCGGCAGCGGGCCAATGGCATCAGGCGCTGTCTCATCACACGTCGCAAGCAGCAGCAGCAGCAGCAGCGGCAACAATCCACTCGAAGGACAATGATCCATCGTCCTCAGGCCTCTACAAAGCCGCATAACACAAAGTGAATAGCGCGTTCTGATCGCTCAATACCATCTCACTAAGTAGCATTTGGCAGAAGCCGTTTTCTCACTTAGTGAATGCCTCGATGATGCAACACTTCAGCTCCTGTGAGACACACACACCAAGCAAAGCAATGAAGGCGTTGTCACTCCAGCGTGAGCCCACTTACGCCTGGGAAGAAGCGGCCGTCTTGTCTCATTCGGGCCCCTTGCGCCTCTCGATGGCCAACGACTGAGACTGCCGACACATGGACAGGGGAGAGACATCATGCTCTCCAAAGTGCTCTTCCATTCCCTTGTACCTCTCCAGGCGGTCGACGTTAGAGGGAGAAAAGACATAGAGATATAAAATGTAGGCAGCAATACCGAGCGCCTCGAGGCCCTCAGCAGTCGCAGGGACGCCCCCGAGGCCCCGGGGGCGAGTGCAGCACCTGAGGCTGCCGGTCGTCGTGGGGTGATGGCCACCACTGCTCGAGGCGGTCCCGCCACCACTTCTTGAGCCGCATGGTCGCATCTTGTGCTTCGCTCCTGGCCTCCCACACGCCCATCCCTGTGTACTCCCAGTACACAAGCTCGCCCCGCACCCCATTCCACGCCGGAGGAGGGGCGGTAGTGCTGGTGGACGCCCTGTGCTCTGCCTTGTGGGCAGCCGCCACCTCCTCCGTCTCCTTCAAGAAGGCCTTCTTGGCCTTCAAACCCGCCACCTCGGCCTGCAGGCCCGCGTGGCAACTCTGAAAAACACAGCATACAGGCCATTTGTGTCAAAGGTCTCTGTGTGTGCAGGTGCTGTGTGTGAGTGGTGCGGCGCATGTCGAATGCGTACCAGGCGCTCTTTCATGGCCTCTACCTCGGCCTTGAGCGCCTCGATCTGCGCCTTCAGGGGCACCTTCTGAGCAACGACACAACACATCAAAAGAGAAGGAATCGGCGTGCTGCGCACCACGGAGAGAGTGAGAGAGAGAGAGCATTGGCTTACCTTCTTCCTCTCGACCCGCTTGGCGCACGCCTCCAGCAGGCCGTCACGCTCGTCCGTGTGGCCGATACGCTTCTCGAGTTCCTGCCACACGGACAAATCACATGGATGGTGAGCGCGAGGCGACTGTGGGGCTGCTTACGCCTGGGAACTTGAGGGCCAGTAGCTTGGCGCTCCTCTTGGCCGCCTTGTAGTCCCGGGGGTCGAGGACGATGTCCTCGGCGTTGGCCGGCGCCCTGACGAGGGCAGAGGGTGACAGAGGGTAGGGCATAGGGTACAGCGCCATGACGGCACTCACTCACAGGCGACGACACGGGCTGCTCTGCTCACAGAACAGAACAGCAGCTCCTCCTGAAAAGGCGATCGCATGCGTAAGCTCCCGCTCCCTGATGGCCTCTACCTTGGCCTTGAGCGCCTCGATCTGCGCCTTCGCCCCTGAGGAACAACATGACACATCAACAGAGAAGGAATCGGTGTGCTCCACTGCACCACACAGAGAGAGAATGCATTGGCTCGCATACCTCTCTCTGCTTCTCAACCCGCCCAAGGCCCTGCCCCAGCAAGAGGCGGAGCTCCTCCTCCGTCACGGCAGCCAGACGCTTCTTGAGCTCCTGCCACATAAACGGACACGTCACGGAAGCCATATATGTCAAGCCAACGGAACTCCCTCTCTAAGTGTGAGGCCGCTTACACCCGGGGACTTGACGGCCAGCAGCTTGTCCCTCCTGTACTCCTCGGCGATGGCCGGCGCCCTGGGGAGGGCAGAAGGCGGCACGTACAGCGACATGGGGGGGGCGCTCACACAAAGGTGCCGATACGGGGGTGCTCTCCGCTCCCAGAGCAGCAACAGCTCCCCCTCTGAAAAGCCGCCTTAGTGGCAGCCTCCCGCCTCTGAGGAAGAGTACAGTAACACATCAGATGAGAAGGAACAATCGTGCGTGCATGGTGCATCGCATACATCCTTTCACGTCCTCTGAACCAGCCAACGCCGCTTCCGTGTCTGAGGAACAACATAACAGAAGGCGTCCCACTCGGCGTCTGAGATGGCGTCCGGACGCCGCTCGAGCTCCTGAGTCTCGCCATAGAAACACACCACAGGTACGCATTTTATCGTGCCAGCCAAAGCGAACGCACTCCTCTTTCGTGAGTGCGAGTGTAAACGCTTACCCGTGGCGAGCAGAACCGCATTGGCCATGCAGGTCCCCCAATCTCCGGGGTCGACGACAATTTCTGCGGGGTCGTCCGGATGCTGCAGCTTGGGGCCGGTAGATGGCCGCCGAAGCGACCAAGTGTGCGAAAGGAAATTGAGGAAACACAGAGGAGACATGAGCAAATATGCGCTTTATCCTCTTTTTCCTGCCTTACTTACGTACCTTCTCGGCCACCGAGAAAGGGAAGGAAGAAAATGCCGCCGCCAGACTTCTCTCGCTGAGCTGAAAGGAAAGGCAAAAGGGACTGATGTGGAGTGTTCGTCATGATATATAGAGCCCTTAGTGGCGGCGCGAATGCAGTGACTGGCCTACTTAGAAGCTCCGCTCTTGTCTGAAGACACAGCTCGTTTCTCTGCTGAAGAAATCAGTGAGCGTTCTGAATCTCTGGCAGTGCACGTGAATACGCGACTACCTTTCTAGCTTCCATACGCATGCCTTCTCGTTGGGCAGGAGGTTGTCGTCGTTGGGAAAACTTCTCGGCTGCAAGAGAAAGATTGATTAGACAAAGCTTTTCTGTCTCTTTTTCGCCCTCTTTTTCGTCGGACCGAAGGATCGCGTTCCTGGAAAGCAGCAGAAAGGAAACCCGACGTGAACGTGAACATGAGACTGAGTGAGGCGCTCACACACCTCACCAACCTTCATATAGATGCGTCGAGAAAAAGACAAGGGGGACGAAAAGAATGAACCACCTCATCTGCACGCACAAAGACGGCAACAGGAGGCATCTCAGCACACTCATGGCAAAGGAATGCCTCATGCCTTCATCCCTACACATCATCCACACACCAAACCATCACCACACCCAAGACACATGACCCACGAGGCCACACTCATATATACTCACCTGACGGAGGCGGATTATGGTATCATTATGCGAAAGTGCGCACTCTGCAGGCGCCAGGGAGTCGCCAGCCGCTCCACAGAAGGCAGGGCGCCACCAGGCGAGGCCTCCCTCGCGGCACAGCGGTAAGAAGTTCCCGACGACATTCGGAAAAGTTGAGGGGCGAACCACGCAAGCCAACGATCACTCACGAAGGGAGGAGGGAGGCTCAGGCTGAAGTCAGCTTCTGATGGGCGGGCGGGTCAGGGGCGGTCAGGTGGACTCGTCCTCTTCGAAAACGGCGAGCGGAGGGGGCTGCGTGGGCCTCGGGCCGATGGCGCCCGACAACTCCCGCCGAAGAAAGAGAAGAAACGAAGAAGATGTGAGGCGAACAGTGAAGGATGAGGAGAGCTGGCGTGGAAACTGTCTGCTGTTTCTTTTTCTTTGAGAAAACCGTCTCGAGACGGCGAGAATTCGAATTCTCGCCGCGATTCTCGCCACAAGCTCGCATGAAAAGGATGCTTTGGCAGCTTAGCAAAGCACCATCGATGAAGGCCTCGTCATTCCATCCATCGATCCAAATGTCGTGTGAAATTTTCACCCATAGGAATCCACAGCACGCAAGCCATCCTCAGCCATGCCCGCCATGGGCCGTCACATCGATGACATGGATGAGCGACGGTCCGTCTTGGCAAGCACAGCGCCAAGAAGAGCATACGCATATGGAACTGGATAACACACCCACTGCAGGCTGTGAACTGCCCTGTCCCCTTCCTCCATCCCACTGACTGCCACTCAGTGCATCGAATCGATGGATGGATGCAGCAGCTTTGAAACGATCTCTCACACGTATGTTCCATCTACTACCAAAATGCTAAGCCCGCCATCCACATGCCCAGACAGGACGGACGAGGAGATGAGCGAGGCACGCTGTCAGTAGACGCGAAAAAGCTTGTCCTCCTCATGACCTCTCCCACAGATGTAAAACGGACACACGAGTCATTGGGTGAGTTGGACAACACAGCCCACTACGCATATGTGTGTCTGCAGCACTGCAGCAACGTGGATGGATGAGGGGGCAAGGCAAGTGGGTAATGACAACAGGGGTGGGTGGTGCGTATACATGTCCGTCGGGCGTACGGTTGGTGCAAAAGCTGCATGCCATGCCGTGTAGTCTTTCTTACCATCCAAAACAGTCAGCACAAGTAAGTGGACACACATCTATGTAAGTAACACGCACGGTGAAATGGTGACAGCACACCGTCACCGTCTCACACGGGTGCAAAACTGCATGGCCATCCCCTCAGGCAAGGGAGCTGCTTGGCAGCCGCCCACACACAGAGGACGCCCTCAATCTTCCCAAACACACGAAGTGACAGAGACCAGTGGCGCGTGCGGATGAGGGTGGGTGTGATGCGGGCAGGTCAGTCAGCCAGTCAGTCAGTCAGTCAGTATGTGGCGTTTTGGCTGCCCAGCCACACCTTGTCGGTCTTCTCTTTGCGCGCCATCTGCACCGCCCGCTTGGTGGGGATCTTGATGCCCGTCTTCTTGACTGCCTTCGCGTCATCAACGTCTCCCGCCACTGACGAGATCGGCGACACTGTCGTCTTCTTGGGAGGCTCGTAACCCTCTAAATGCTCAAACACACACGATGACTCCGTGCATTTCTTGTGCGCGGCGTGTTCTTGCTTACTTGGATATTTTGCAGGGATGACTGTCGTGAAGAAGGCCTTGCAGCTGCTCTCCATGACGCCAGCAGACCGGTCGACCTCCTTGCTGAGACCGATCGACGGAAACATGACCGCAGGAGGAGCGATGCGCACCGCAGGGCTGCAGGTGGACGTGCTGGATGCTTCAGAGGGCCAGGCGAAGCATCGCCGTGCCACCACTGCCTCTGCACTTGCCGAGAGCCCTGAGAAACGAGCAACTCGCCGCGCTACCGACATTGTTGGAGATGGTGGCGTAGTCGCAGCCTCCACACAAAAGCTCGCGCAAAAGCTCGCATATCTCGAGCTGAAACCACGCTACTTGGCGATGAAGTGACGATGTCACTTCTTCCTGCCCGTCCTCGAGTCGAGGCGCGGCAGGGATCCGCCGACGACGCGCACCCGAACGGAGTCGTCTTTCGAGCGGAGTCGAGGGGTTCCCATCCTGCAACTGACCCGTATCTAGCGGATGGAGCTTCCGGCGCCGAGGGGGGACGGCTCTGCGGCGCGGGGGAGGCCCGGGGTGGCGCATCTCAGGAGCGACTCCTGTCGGTAGATGAGAGTGGCTGTGGAGGATCGCTGTCGTTGCCCGTTAAGGCAACAGATGAGCCAGAGGGACGGTTCACGAGAAGGAGGGACAGTTCGGAGTGCTCAGGGTTCTCAGCATGCAGTTGCAGTACACGGCGGGATCTACCCCAACACACGCAGCCTCTGACACCCCCTCTCGCACTGTGCTGTCCTTCTGCATCGCATTACAGCGATCTCCCCCTCTCAAACAGGTATCCGCATTCAGCAGACAGAACCATAACGCAGAAAGCAGCACAGGGCGCATTCAGCGGCGTGTGAGTCTGTGTTTGCGCTGTGTGACTGATCAGGCGCCATCAGCACCTTGTCGTGCGGCTCGTCGGGCACCATCGGTGTCCCTTCGTCGTCGAACACAGGATTGTTGAGGAGTTTCATCCTCAAATGAGCGTGCTGCGCCTCGTCGAGGCCCTTCGTGAAGATGTCAGCAGTATTCTCGCTCGAAGCAATCCAGTGGACGCAGAGCTGTCCTTTCAGGACCAGATCACGCACAAAGTGATATCGCACCAGTATGTGACGTGTTCTCTGCTTGACTTCCTCGTTGTAGGAGACCGACCCAGCGCCTCTGTTGTCTGTGATGAGCTTCGCTCGCTGCACAGGTAGGCGAAAGAAGTCAGCTAGTTGCCTGACAAACACCAGATCTCTGGCGCACTCATTCAGAGCGATGTACTCTGCTTCACAGGTACTCAGAGCAACCAGGGTCTGATTGCGGCTCCTCCACGACACAAGGTTTCCACCCAAGTAGAGGGCAAAGCCGCCAGTGCTCTTCCCGTTGTCCAGGTCAGCGTGGCTCGCATCAGCGTAGCCAAGCACTGAGAGATGATTCACATCGCCTGGCTTGAATATGATTCCGTGATCCTTGGTGCCCTTCAGGTACCGAAAGATGCGCTTTACGGCCGTCCAGTGCTTCCGCCCTGGATTGTGGCAGTACATCGCCACCTCCTTGACTGCATACGAGATGTCGGGCCTCGTCGTCACAGCCAGGTACAGCAGTGTTCCCACCGCCTGCCGATACACGGCTTGCATGGAAGCGCTCCATTCTTTCTCCTCAGGTGTGCTGGGGCAGTGGTCTTTGCTGAGCTTCACTCCGCTCGCCACTGGTGTCGACGCGGGGTTGGAATGCTCCCATCGGAAGCGCTTGAGGATCTTCTCGATGTACGCCCGCTGCGAGAGCTTCATCTCGCCGGTGAGCGGATCACGCTCAATCTTGATGCCCACAAACACATCTGCCTTTCCCAGGTCTTTGATACCGTACTCGCGGTTGAGGAGCTCACGAAACCAATCGGCGTCCGCGTCGCGGCCTGACATGGGGGCGTAGAGGATGTCATCCACTACAAACACCACCCAGAGGTCAGTCGGCCGATGAATGAAGATGCACGGGTCACAGAGGCACTGTTCGAACCCATTGTCCTTCAGGAACTTGACAAGCGTCGTATTCCACGCGCGAGGGGCTTCTTTCAAGCCATACAGGGCCCTTTTCAAGCGCCAGACCTTTCCAGGTATCTCAAATCCTTCAGGACATCTGACAAACACAGGGTACGGCAAGGGAGAATTGAGGAAGGCGACGTCCACATCGGTCTGATAGATGGTTCGTCCCGTCATCGTACACAGACAGAGAAAGACACGAATGGCAATGCCAGAGAGAGTGGGGGCGAATGTCTGCCCGACGTCCATCAGACTCTGTGCGTTCCCGCACACCACTATCCGTGCTTTCTTTCTGTCAGGTTTCTGTGTGAGGATGATTTTGCACGGCAAGATCTTCGACGTGGCTTCACCAACATCGACAAGATCCCTGACATCCTTCCGGACGATCGAATCGTGCTCTTTGTGGATGGCTTCCCACCATTCCTTCTGTTCCTCGGCGCTGAGCTTCTTCAAATCGCTCATATTCTGCGGCACGAGGTCAGAGAGCAGGGCAGCAAAGCCATCATCGATGGTCATTTCACCGTTCACGATGAGTGCAGAGATACACGCGTGCATTGCCCTTGTGTGTGTGTTTGCGTCACCCCTCAACAGCTTCACTATCAAGTCAGTGTCCTCCTCAAAGACATCATCCGACGCACACGCCAATGCAGACAACAGAGCCAGGTCAGCAGCAGGTGCTCGTCGAGCAGGCTGCTTCTTGCTCAACACAGTCACACTAGACAGGTCACATCGTCGTGTGTGTGTTTTGGTTGTGCAGGTTTCACCCGAACCAGTCTGATTGGATGTTGATTCGCTTTGTGGGG